AACACCGAGCCCACGGACGAATTTCTGAGGCAGCACTCTGCGCCGAAATCCACGCCGAACAGCAGGACATGGATCTGCAAGAAGAACGACACAGGAAGAAGACGACAACGTCAGAGTTCGCATTTCACACCCAACGACGACACAACAACTACAGCAACAGACAACAACAGCCGAAGCCAGTACCTCCCTTCTGTCACATCTGCAAGACTTCAGGGCACCCGCGCACGCACTGCCCGAATCGTCAACAGTCAACGACCCCGCAACGACACCTTCGACCTTCAAGCAGTCAAATTGCGTCAACGCAAGCAAATCCAACGACCCAGATCCAAGCTTCAACAACCTCAACGGGACAACCTGCGCAAGGAGCAAGAAACATCGTTAGCTGCATCGCAAGACTAAGTGACTCTTGCGTCATGGATTCACCACCTCATTACTCACCGGAAGAACAACTCGACAACACCACACCTCGTCGCGAAGCACTTCAACCAAATCCCACATACGCTGCCATCGCCCAAAACGAGCCATCCGGAAAAGACACGTGGTTCTTGGACAGTTGCTGCGGACAACACATGTGTTCTTCGGGACGCTTCGTACAGAGAGAGTATCAGCTTCAACGAGAGGTCGTCATCACCGTCGCCAATAATCAAAACCTGTACACACGACGACAAGGAATTGTACAACTTCAGTCACGGGAGACAAACGTCATTCTGCAAATGTCCAAAGTTTTAATCGCAGAAGGCCTCGGATACAACCTTCTCAGTGTGAGTCAGTTGATGGCGAAAGGCATCCACCTCGAAGCAGACAGCACTACCCAAGAATTCAAGCTGTACCACGGGAGAGGAGGTCTTTACATCGGGAAGGCAATCCTTAAAAACAACGTCTTCGTCTTGGACTTCGTTCCTGATCTCGGCACCGCTGACAGTGACGCCATAGTCAACTTTACCAACTGGACACACCCTCCGGATCTTGACCCCGACTTCAGTCCAGGCGGCTTCTGGTATTCACATACCATTCCTGAAACAGAGAGAACAAGAGCATTAGCAACGATCGGCAGCAGCAGAGACAACGTCGGCAGCAGCAGAGACAACAACAGCAACAGCGACAACAACGACACCAGTCGCCGGTCCTTCAACGACGGCGCTCTTCAACGACGATGCACCACCAACACCTGCACAACAGCTTCCGCCAGCACCACGAGAATTTCATCACAGTCCCAACTTCACCACCGGTCTCTACTCCAACTCCGACATGTATCAGCGCTCACCCGGTCATCGCGCCAACGAAGAAATCTGGCACGCAAGAATGGGACACCCAAGCAACACTGTGTTAAACAACACAATTCGAGCAGGAGTACTCGACAAGGACTCTCTGCTTTTAACAGACGGCAGAGAACTTCAGCGAGCTCGAGGAACATGCTTCACCTGCCCCGAAGCTGACTTACCGCATCAGCCCTTCGTTTCGCATCACAACCCAAGCGCACCTGCATATGCACCACTCGAGAAAGTATACAGCGACATCTTGTACAACCGCGAACCCGGACAAAACGCGTATAACTACACCATCACCTTCATCGACGCCGCTACACGCTACGTCTGGCACCTAAACTTGCCAAGTCGCGACATGGCTTTCGAGGCTTTCGTGGCATGGCTTCCAGCAGCAGAACGGGAATCGGGAGCTAAACTCAAAAGCTTCCAATCAGACGGAGGAGGAGAATACTCGTCACAGCGATTCAAGCAGTACCTGGCGGAGAAGGGAATCAAGAGACTCATCTCCCTTCCCTACGCCCATCAACAGCAGGGTGTAGCAGAAAGGATGAACAGGACTCTGCAGAACACCATGCGCAAACTGTTACGTGGCATGCGGCTACCCAACCACCAGTGGCCCGAAGCAATGGACCACGCCGTGATGCTGCACAACTTGCTTTCTTCGTCGTCACTCCCGAACAACACATCACCGCATCTGCTGTGGACAGGGAAACTGGGCAGCACAAAAATGTTACGAGTCTTCGGCTGCATGGTACAGTACCGACCCCCATCTGCACGAGCCGGCCGATTCTCCCAACGCGCACAGTGGGGACTACACCTGGGCATCGAAAAACATTACAACGCATGGAAGATCTTCGATATCAACAGCAAAGAAACAGTAGCAGCACGTGACGTGATTTTCTACGAACGACTCACACTGCCAACGTACCTTGCCAACCTGGACGAAAATCGAGACCCCACAGGCGGCTTCCGTGGCGATCGAGCCTTCGCTTCGACAGAAGACGAAGCTGACTGGGACGAGCAGAATGTGGAAGGAGCCTCGGAAGAAGCCGGACCTCTTCCCTACTGCTCAGTGGACGTACCGATGGACGAAGAAAACCCTCGCGAAAGCGTCAACGCCGAAACTTACTACCACTTCGCCGACAACGGTTACGTTACACCTGCTGAAGTCAACACCAACGAAGCAGAACGCATAGGGCCCAACTTCGCACCCGATCCAGAAACTGGAGACGAAGCAGTCTATCCCGAGGACACCACACTCCCCCGCTACACACAGAGCGGACTCCAAATCCTTGGTCTCGTCACCGCGGTCCACGGCGTCGACATTCCTAAGGAGCCTGCGACAGTTCAGCAGGCTCTGGGGGGGGAGCATAAGGAAAAATGGCGCGAAGCCATGGACAAGGAGCTGAAGGCATTAGAGGAACGCAACACCTGGAAAGTCGTTCCCATCGGTGCAGCGCGAAACAAGACCATTCTTACCGGGAAATGGGTCTTCCGTGAGAAGACGAAGGCCGACGGCACCATCGACAAGTTTAAAGCACGATGGGTCGTTCGCGGCTTTGACCAGGAACATGGACGAGACTTCACCGAAACCTTCGCTCCGGTCAGCCGCCACACTTCACCTCGAATTCTTCTCGCCATCGCCGCTATGAAGAAAAAGAAACTGCGCCAAATCGACGTCGCAAACGCTTTTCTCTACGCACCGGTCGATGCAGAGATTTTCGTGGAACTACCGCACGGCTCCAACACAAATTCCACGCACGTCTGCCAGCTACTAAAATCGCTTTACGGGATCAAGCAGGCACCGCGACTGTGGCAGCAGTACCTGCATACTCGTCTCATCCGCATCGGCTTCAAACAACTCCCGCACGATCAGGGCATGTACCGCCTCACGAAGAACAGCGACTACATCTTGCTAATTGTCTACGTGGACGATCTTCTCTACATCGGCTCTACCGACAGCATCACCACCTGGTTCGAAGGGGAGCTGCAGAGGGACCTCACCCTCACTGTCTCATCTACCGTCACACAGTATCTCGGACTTAACATTCGAGAAGATAACGACGCGATCTACCTCAGCGCCGAAAAGTACGCCGACGCCATCGCCAAACGATTCGGAATTACGCCAGCCGCGATTTCAACACCATACCGCTACACGACAGGAGCCGATAAGGAATCTACCCCACTTAAATCCGCCGGCATACGCAACTATCAGAGGAAGCTAGGTTGCCTTCTCTTCGCAGCCGTCACTTGCCGACCCGACCTATCCTACTCCGCAAGCCAGCTCGCCACTTATCTCAAGAAACCTGAAGCAGAACACCTGGCGGAACTTGACCGCGCTCTGCACTACTTTATCAGCACCGCAATGATCGGCTTAACTTATCACAAGAACGCAGCTACACCAACCAAGCTACGTCGATGCCGATCACGCCGGCGACACTGACAACAGACGCTCACGCACCGGCTACGTCTACCGCCTCGAGCCTATCGGTCCTATCTCCTGGCAGTCAAGCAAGCAGGAGTTAATCGCGCTATCTTCAGCTGAAGCAGAATATATCGCACTCTGCTCAGCCACCAAAGAAGGACTCTATCTTCGCGAGCTACTGGAAGAAGCGAAGTTAGCCGAGTTACCCAACTTTAACGTGTCCTGCGACAACCAGTCAGCAATTCGCATCGCCAACAAGAACGGCTTCGCGAACAGGACGAGACATATTGCCCTACGTTACTTCTTCGTGAAGGACGAGATCGAGAAGGGGAGACTCGAGCTGTCATACTGCCCCACATCCGAGATGGCAGCTGACTACTTGACCAAGAAACTCGGAAAGCAAAAGTTCGAGTATTGCATGCTGCTGACTGGACAGAGCCACGTCACCAGCAGCGACACTCCAGAAGCGAAGGGGAGTGTTGGAAACAATAAGACCTAAGCGCTTCAGTCGTGTCGAAAACACCGCATCAGAAGCGAGGCAAACTATACCGAAGCACCCGCGAGTCAACCCTCGGGGGTTGAAGAGGTTGCTGGAGGTTACGCGAAGGTCAAAGGTCGCTGACCTTTGACCCGACAAGTACAGCGCGACAGTTAAAGACATACAACTGACTCGTTACAGAGCAGTTGCCCGAGTCGTATTGTATCGAACCGCAACACCAACAGTAAAAGTAGTTATAACCGTATCCTTTGATATTCCTTACACCACTATATATTCTTGTACTTTCCTGTTATAATTAATCTACTTTGCCCTCACATACTAGCGCAAGGTGGTTCACAATTACTGCACTAAAAGCTTCCGCTATTACAATTGTCCTACCCAGAGTTCTCCCCTGAAAAGATCCTAAGGGGCTATCTCAGCCCAACATGTATTCTCTTGTTGGTGGTATACCCCTCCTGACCACCTTCCCTAACCCTATATCATATATCTCTCTCACTAGTCCAACCCCTTCCTTTGGCCAAACTTCTCTCCATCCAAACCCTAAGTTCCTAGCTCTCTAAGTTCCTAGTCCTTACCTTCTTAACACTAAGGTAAGGGCGTGTCTCAAAAGAACTTTCTCATGTGGCTCAACCAGGATGTGAACAATCTAGAGAGGTCTATCCAGGATGTAGAATGGTCGGGTAGGGTATTTCGCAGTATATCACTTTCAGGACCCGCCCTAAGAACTCCGTGGTCTACAATCCAGCAGACACATTCAGTGAAATGCACATTCATCCTCTGTACACCCAGTAAGCTACACTAACATATCCAATCAATTTGCCCCAAATGCCACCGTCTTCTTGGGCTGCGTCAGAGAACCCATCCGCTGCAAGCCACTCTCCACTCCCCTCCCGCCCGCGCCTCTCCCCATACTCCCCCCCACATCATTCCCGCCACTGTCCCCTGGCACACACGAGCTCGTTCGTCTCAGGCAGGATTTGAGCCCTGGACCACCACCACCCATGCTGCTTCCGCCTCTTACACTATCTACAACTCCAAATTCACCACTAATACCACTATTGGTACTATCCTGCTGAAACTCACTAATCTGAGCTGTGGACGCTCCTGGTAGCACTCCAGAGGAGCCTCTGACCAATCGTACAGACGGTTTATCCGCACAAGGCACATTCACATTAGAGTCACGTCCGCCAAAGTCACCTTGAACAGAGCTGGAGCGCTGGTGCGACGCCCGACCCAAGCCCACCCTCCCAGGCAAGGGGGGCACAGGCGTTGGGGAGGAGGCAGCATGCCCCTGGCCATAGCTGTTACCGCCCCGTTCCTGGTTACCACCCCTCTCCTGGTTACCACCAAGACCACCACCGGTTTCCGCCGCAGAAGCCATGGCAGCACGCAGGGCGATCTGCTCCTTGGAAATCTGTCGCATGAGGGGACCCATGCGGATGCCTGATGGGTGGAACAATGGCACGGGGGCGGGCGGCAGGTTTACAGCTGGCATGGGCTGATTGGCCGGGGCAGAAGGCATGGGAGGAGGTGCGTATGGGGATGGTACTTGCGGCATGGGTTTTTGAGAGGCGGGTCGCGAAGGCGAGGGCGAGTTGTTGGAGATGCTGTTGTTACCGCCGCTGTTGTTACCACCGCTGCCTGTGTTCGCCAGGATCACCTGCCCTGGCTGGGACTGCGACCTCTGCAGTGGCGACTTGCGAAGTGGTGGTAACTGGTTACCACCTGGTGGCAGGCTACCCTGGGACACAAGCCTACCAGGCGAATTTCCACCTGAGTTTCCACCTGAAATTCCATTCGAACCCGGAGCAACTCTGCGTCTGACCGTTGGATCAAGACCAGAGCCCGAGGAAGGGTTCACAGGGCCAGACGCGGGAATCCCTTGGGCTCCACTAGGACCGAAGCTCACCCCAATATCCTCCCACCCATACCCCTCCATCTCCTCCTCCGGCGCCCCTTCCTCCTCCTCCGCCCACTCCCACTCTCCTCTCTCACGCCCCTCACTGTAGAAATCTTCCGCGCTCGTTGCGCCTCCCCCCGCGCCATGACGCGCCCAGCTTTCCCCTGCGCCTGCTCTCGGTCCCGCGCTATCCTCATTCCGCCGCGCCCCGCTCCCGCGGCCCCCACTGGGCGGACGCGCAGCTTGCTGCGACATGGGGTACGCGGGGGGGACCGCACCCGCGGAGCCGAGCGCGCTTGCGCGGAGGAACGGGTGTTCCAGCAGTTGCGCGGCGGAGGGGCGGCGCGCGGGATCCCTCTCGAGGCATCTCCGCAGGAACCCGACAGCTTCCGCCGACAGATGCGCCGGAATAGCCGGCGCCGCGTTGGAGTAACCAATCGCGTGCAGCAGCGCGTCAGGAGACGGATCGGCTATGTACTCGCCGTCTATATTACCGGCCGGCGGCAGTTGGCCGGTCCAAGGCGGCAAACCCGTCGCCATTTCAATCACTGTACACCCGAGCGACCAGACGTCCGACGCGAACCCTTGATCTTCCTGTCGCACGACCTCCGGCGCCATCCAGCCGTACGTTCCCTGCAGCCGCTGCTTGCGCGCTATGCGCAGCGCCGCTTCCCCCGCGCGCATCGCCACGCCCAGCCCGCACAGCTTCGTCTCCCCCTCCGCCCCCGCAACAAGCACATTCGCCGCTTTCACGTCGCAGTGCACGATCCCGCGCGCGTGCAGCACCGCCAACCCTTCCGCAATCCCGCGCGCGTATTTCCGCACCAGCGCCTCCGGCAGCCCTCCGCATCCCCCGCCTCCGCCTCCGCCGCCGCTGTCGCCGCCGCAGCATCCGAACGTGCCCATGATGTCAAGCACACTCCCAGCAGAAACATACTCGAGAAATAAATTCTTCACCCGAGCTCCGGACGCAGGGTCGGATTCCCATGCCGAGCCTAGCAGCCGAACCACGCGCGGACAGGTTCGGAGCTCCTCCAGAATCGCCTGCTCGTTCTCCAGCTGCCGCATGGTCTTTGGAAGGCTATTAATCGACACGGACTTGACTACTAAAACCTCGCCCGTGTCGGAATTTAACGCGAGATTCACTTTCCCGGCGGTCGGGTCGCCGCCCAGACTAGGTCCGCGAATCCAGCGTATTGCGGCCGCGGCGCCGGCACTTGCGGAAGTTAAGGGTCCGGTAGAGGCGGCGTGTGTTGCGGCGGCGGTTGCGGACGGCAGCTCCTGCATCTGGAGCCGAGACAACTCGGGAGGTTGGCGGGGATTGTTGTAGGAGGATGTTTCGGATTGGTTGGCGTAGGATCCTCGGTTCCTGGGAGGCGATTCGAGGGAGCGCGGCGCGGACAGCTCGTGTCGCATGTGGTGCGGCGGAAGGGACGAACGCGCGGCTATATCGGCCGCCATGAAGAATCAAATCTCGCGACTCCACGCGTCCACTCAAGCTTAACACGACGCGCACAACTTGAGGCTTGGTGCTCTTTTGCTGAGTGCGTTGCTGAGTGGGTCAAAAGAGAAATCTTCGGCTATTGCTTGCGGAGCTGCTGCTTGCGGGGCTGCAGCGCGGCTAACGTGCGGGTGACTGCGTGGCGCAAGTGACTGATGGCAACGAAAAAGTGTTAGGAGAGAGGTTTGAGCAAGGTTCCGTGCTGTGCTGAAAGTGACGGTTCAGGTAATGGATTAGGGACGCTCTGCTGAGTCCAGACAAGTAAGAAGAGGGACATGGAATGGATGAAAACTGGCGAGGCGATGCACGAGGAATGCGTGAAAGACGTCAGTGACAGTGAGTGAGAGGCGACAATGGTAGCCAGTGGAATGGTGCGGAAGGAAGTGCAAGCGACTGTTGATGTATTGTGGAAGCAGGAGGCTTAGGGAGGGTGGTTCACAGGAACCAAACCATGAAGCAAAGAAGCCAGCCATTTCAAAGCGGGTAATTAGCTTTGGCGGGGGTAATACTAGCGATTCTGCGCTTTCCAGGGAACTACACCGCTAGCTGCGCACACTTTCCGCCCCTCCGTCCCTCAGACGAGGAAAGTTATTGCAAAAGCATAGAAATCGGCCCCATATTCACCCACGTGTCACGAATTCGCAAGCCATTGGAAAATGTATCACTACACCTGACCGAAAAAACAGAAAACCCCGTCGGATTTGCATGCGGCTCGGGGAGGCATTAATCCTTAAAAAATGCGGGTTCCCGAGTTCAGGGTTTATCCTTCCCGAAAATATGTCCAGGTTCCCTGCCAGTTTTAGAATTCCCGAAATTGTGACACGTGTGTAAGTGGAACCGAGTTCTGTGTTGTAACAAAAACTTTGCTGTCTGAGGGTAGCTTGGGAGGAAAGTGTGGCCAATAAGCAGTGAAGTTTTTGGAAAAGCGCATTATTAACAATACTTCCACCTCCATAGTGTGTAAGGCATGAGGAGGAAGTGTGATGAATTGGGCCCGAGTTATGAGTTGAGGTGGAGCCTTCCCCCAGGTGGCCTGTGGTGGAATGTACTGGCATGCATAGCAAATCCAACCATATGGAGGTCAGAAGGGGTATGAATGGTTCTAGTTGTGTTCGATGCGCTGAAGTGGGTTTTTTCCTAGGTGATACGTTAGAGTCTCTGGCAGCGCGGCGCAGATGATCCAGAAAGTCCATTTTGTGGCAGGGGACTCAGTGCTCGGCTGGGATTGAATGGCCATAGGGTGTCCATCGCCACGCCACCGCACTGCACCTCGTACTCGGGCTACGAATCCGCATGGAGCTACCTCACCTCATAATAGTTGGGCAAGTTTCTGCCCGTAATAGAGCTGGTCCAGACCCTGAAACCCGCTGACCGGAGCGAGAAATCGAAATTCAACACCTACAGCCTATACAGTAGTTGACTCAAACATTGGCAAAGGAGTTGAGTCAGATGCGTGCAACCTGCCCAGAAGCGACTTCCAACAGTGATCACTCGGAGTTGGTTAGAACTGGCCTGCACAATGAGCAATTTTCAAACTCTTCCAACCAATCCAGGTGTCATCAGCTGGCTTGGCACCCCACTGCCTTGTTCGCCCTCCGACATAAGCATGATGAAGAGCACCAATTACAGGCGGCCCTTAGCGATTTAATGTAACAAATGTTGATGTACACGAGCACAATCAGAGAAAGCACTTCCTCCTGTTAATACAAACGTACGATTCTCATAGCATGAAAAAAAAACTGCTGCAGCGGGGCAGTCAGTCAGGTGCCTAAGTTGCTATTGAGGAACATTGGAAGGTGTCCTGGCTTTCTAGTACAGTTAAGGAGGTAATGGGAGGGAGGGGGGAGGAAAGCCCACACAGCATTAACATACGTCCAGGAAGTAAGTGTACGGTCCTTAGCACCACTCCTCACTCCAAGTGCCACTGTTGCTGTCTATGTACAACCCAGAAAGTCGGCTGGACCCTATCTTCCGTCCATGGCTATAATTCCCTTCGTTGCTGTCCCCGAGCTTTCTGGAAAACCATCTTAGCAGAGAGGCCTTCCCTTGAGATTCTAGCTTCCCATTGCGCTTGTGTTCTCTTCTTGGTGAGGATTCCGTCCCATAACTGCCACTCAGCAGTCTAGGAAGGACAGGGGTTTCCGAATCACAAGAAATGATGTCCAAATCTTCTTGCTGTTTAATCGGAATGCTGCCACAGCTGCTGCCGTTGACCGAGCTGCTGCTGGGAAACTTCCTGGAAGATGGAAACAATCTAATCGCAACAGCGGCGCTGGTGCCATCCCGGGGAGTGGTCAGAGCGATGGAGCTGCAAGAAGAGGGTCCAGACGAGAGAGACTCGGAAAAAGATCCATTGGAGGAGAGCGAGTCAGGAGAAAGCTGCGTTGACGACGCGTAAGCAAAGGGAGGGAGTTGCGCTAGTGGATGCGCTGGCGAGACGTGGCCGGTCCAGTTGTCGGCGGCGGCAGCGGCAGAGGTGGGATTCGGACCGTTGGGGCCATCTGGGGAAAGCTGGGACTGCGAAGAGACCCGTCGGTGTCGGCTGCGATACGCTGCCGCATGGCTGCCGAGATGCGCGGTGACTGGAGAGGCGAACCGACGCTGCTGCTCCTGTTGCTGCTGCTGTTGCTGCTGCTGCGCTATGGTGTGATGCGCGGCGTTGCGATCGCCGGATAGCAGCATCGCGTCCGCCATTGCAAAAGCCGCCATTCCGCTCGTAATTCCGCTGGTGCCGTATTCAGGTCCTGATTCGAAGGTGGAGGATCGCGGGATCATGCGCCTTCGAGACGCGTTCGCATCATCCATCCACATGGCGTAACGCGTATGTTCGCCAGGAAGCGCTTCGGGGCCACATTTGTCGTCGTCGGGAGCAAAGCGTTTCGCCATCTCCGCCGCGAAGTCGCCGGCGCGGCTGGTGGTGTCGTCGACGCATGCGCCAAACGCGCTGACCGCCTGCTCCACCGTCTTGAGTGCGCTCGACCGCCGATTCGGTCTATCAGTAGTAGTGCCTTTAAAAACCCTGGAGCCCGCAGCTGCGCTGGGTTCAGGGTCGGGTTTTTTCATTTGCGACCCGAGCGACTCGTTGTCGGGCTCCTCGGAAGCAAAAGCCTCTCGTGCCAATTTCTTGAAGGTTTTTTCTTCTGGAGAGTCGCTGCCGAGTATCGCACCGCGGACCAAGACGAGGTACGTGCGTCCCGGAAGCAGCACGGTATGGGACGATAGAACGGCTTCGTCGGAGTCGAGGCTGCTGACGTGGCAGCCAGGATACATAGCCATGACATCGCTGACGTGGACGGTGATGTCTGGCTGGATAATGTTGACGCTGCTGTCAGGCAGAAGCAACAAAATGGAGTCGTCCATCGCGTAAGCTTTTCCGAGAATATTTGAGTTAAGGAAGACGAATGAAATGTACGGAGAACGAAGAGGCCGTGAGCTGAGGGAGTCGAGGTGATTTCACGACTTGGTTGAGAAATCCCAACTTAGTTATAGTGTCCGCGAAGAGCGATGAGACAAGGCGATGAGCCCGACGAATGTTTTCTTATTTCGAAGACAAGCGACACGGGGAGCTAGGAGCAGGGTCGATTACGGCAGGAGTACGTCACCACGTAAGAATTTCTCGCCCAACGTTACAGAAATAAATAGCAGCTTCACGTGGCTGACAGCAAGGAGGAAATGCGTGCCCAGCAGCGCTGCTTTCCATCACATCACATGGCGAAAGCTTGCTGCTGTTTGCTCTGCTGCTCTGGCTGGCCTGATGACTGAGTGGTCCGAGGAAGATCCCCCTGTGCTGCAGGACTGAGCAAAGTGAATCTCCAAATGCCACAGCAACAAATTGCGTCCTCATGGAGAGTTTCATTTCTCCGGCTTGGCCTATCGGAAAGCAGATAAAAAGGTCGTCGTCGTCATCTTGCAGCAATTCTGTTTTGGCATCATGTGCCGGGCAGCATTGAAAGCTGCTCTGCTTGAGGTTAGCCATTCACCTTGTGCCACGCGGCACAGTCAAGGTCAGCTAATTCTGCAAGAACAGCACTTTCCTGACTGAAACTCCCACTTGATCGAAAGTATGGAAACGATTCACGAACCACGACAAAGAACACTCCGAAATCCTCAATTATCACTCAGCTCGTCAAGATCTCACAAAATACACATGCTGAATGCTTATGAAACTTGGAGATAGCTTGTGGTCAATTGCAGAATTCTAGTTGGCTGGATGGAAACATCTGGTTTCTATGTTTTTCTTGTACAATAGAGGCAAACCTACCCTAGGCTTGCACAGCTTCCTGCCGAGAGTACCCAGACACTTCTACCAGAATGCTTGCACAGCCTTACCCCTTAACAGGCTGAGCCAACGCCTGTTTCTCACCCAATGCATTGCCGCGGCAACCAAGCGATCAAACAGGGAGAGCTGTCATGTGAGCGAACGCATCACAGAAAAGCTTAAGGGGTGAAGGTTCAGCATGTGGAGCAGCAAATCGGACGTCGTCGCCTGAAGCGTCAGAAAGATCACGTGAATGAATGGACATATGATGACTGATGACTTGCACAGGGCAGTAAGAGGTTAGTGCTGTAGATGATGCTACAGTGTGAAGTGCATTGCGCCATCGAGACCATCCCGTCAGTCTGCCTGCGTTAGGAAATTAGAAAATGCGAGCTTCTGATCTGTGATGGAACCCTGTTGTGCAGTCTACCATGGCTCCCTTTCGCGCGGTGATGAGTGTGGTTGTTACGATGATCGGCGCGCAAATCGCCGCAACGGAGGAATCGATTCGTGGGAGCATGAGAGGCGATGAACAAACCCCTGTGGCTTGCCTTGCTTAACCGTACATTTCCCTGGCCATCCCTGGCCCTCTCACCCTTCGCCCGCTCTTTTCGCATCTGCTCTCTTGTGGCAGCCACTTTGCTGCAGTTGCAGGTGCGGAAGGAGCTGGCAGGCATTGTTGGAGAGAAGAAACCATGCTGTCGACAAAACGTTATGAGTGAGCGAGTGCATGAGTGCACGGGGTGGTGTGGCATGGTGTGAGGCCATGGTGTGGCATGGTGTGAGGCCGTGGTGTGGCATGGTTAGAGCCGTGGCGTCACAGGCTGTTGCCACGGCACCACACCATCCCTTCTGCCCACCACCCATGTTCCTGCTGAGAAAGATCATGCACTGCTGACCATGCTTGTGCTGCCGCCAACCCATGCCCTTGTGCTGCAGGTGACCCTGCCCTTGTGCTGCTGCCCAGCCTGCTCTTGAGCTGCTGCTGATTTAGCCCCGGTGCTGCTGCCCAGCCTGCCCTTGTGCTGCTGCCGACCCTGCCCCCGTGCTGCTGCCCAGCCTGCCCTTGTGCTGCTGCCAACAAATCCACTGCCGAACCCGATCCATTTGCTCTTCTTGTCCCTGCCCTTGTGCTGCTCCCATCCCATTGCTGTTCCCGAGCCCACGGCGTTTTGTAACCACCACTGTTGCTTCGACAGCTGTGCCGCTGCGCTGCTTTTCACAAGAGGCCCCATGCCAAACCACAGGTCCTCTCCACCTTTGTTCAAACTGTTATCGTAAACGCACCAAGTGCACATTCGGTGACAACCGCACTTCTCTCCACCTTTGTCCTGCCACAACTCTTCTCTGCCTTCTCGCTGTTACCAAATCCTTCTCGTGCCAAGCCGCGGATCTGGCGAGCGGAGGAGCAGCAACGGAAAGGGCGGGAGCAGGGAAGAAGCAGCAGGTAGCAAGCAGCGCAGCAGGAGAGAGGCAGCAGTAGCAGGATCTGAAGCAGCACGATACAAGCACCTTGGACGCTACGCCCTCTGCCCTGCCCTGTTGCTCACAGCATCACAGGTACTCAATGGGCCTCACGCTCACCAACTGCCAAATGCTGCTTGCTTCGCCTGCTGCTACCCCTCCCCCCGCAGCAGCAGCTCCTTCACCTGCATCGCCTCCCCCATCACCCCCACCCTCGTCAGAAATGCTCTCGCTGAGCAGCACGCAGCAGCGGGGGTAGCGGGTCATGAGGGAGAGCAGTGTGTGCGCCATGAGAGCGGGGTCGATGGGCTTGGTCAGGTATGCGCCCATGCCCGCATCCAGACACTTCTTCTCGTCCACACACCTGCTTGCTTGCTTGCTTGCACACCCAGCACACTGGATCACGGCTGCATGGTCACCACCAGAGCAGCAGCAGGAGACACCGGCTGCTCCCCCCCAGCAGAAGCAGAGGCAGATGTACCTACCCCAGATGCACCTACCCCAGATGCAGCACCGTCAGCTGCAACTTCGACTGCTACACTCCCCTCCTCGCCCTCCTCGGTCTTCTCGCAGTGCGGCACGCAGCAGCGGGGGTAGCGGGTCATGAGGGAGAGCAGTGTGTGCGCCATGAGAGCGGGGTCGATGGGCTTGGTCAGGTATGCGTCCATGCCCGCATCCAGACACTTCTTCTCGTCGCTCGTCATGGCGTGGGCTGTGAGCGCCACTATGGGCGTGTGGAACCGCGTTCCTGCTTCCGCTGCTCTGATGGCTGCTGTCGCCCCATACCCGTCTAGCACCGGCATCTGGCGAGAGGAAACAGGGGTGTGAGGGAGGGTGGAAAGTGTGTGGGTGGATAGCGGGGTCAAGGAAACAGAGGGGGGAATGAGCAGGGGTGAGGTACGTCCATGCCCGCATGCAGACACTTCTTCTCGTCACTTGTCATGGCGTGGGCTGTGAGCGCCACTATGGGCGTGTGGAACCGTGTTCCTGCCTCCACTGCCCTGATGGCTGCTGTTGCACCGTACCCGTCCAGCACTGGCATCTGGAGGGTGGTTGAAAAGGGGGGAGGGTAGGGGAAAGTGTGCGGGTGGATAGAGGGGTCAAGGGAAAGGAGAGGGGAATGAGAAGGGGTGAGTACTCTGATGGTCGCTGTCGGTGATTGAAGAAGTGTTTTGAGACGTCTCAAAACATTTCTTCAATAAAGAGAGGCCGGCCAAGGGAAAGGAGAGGGGAATGAGAAGGGGTGAGTACTCTGATGCCTGCTGTCGGTCGGCCCGTACCCGTCCAGCACAGGCATCTGGAAGGTGGGCGACGGGGAGGGGGGGGGGGAGGAGAGGGGGGGAGAGGAAAGAGAGGTTGAAGAGCGGAGGGATCGGAAAAAAAGAAGTGGGTTGGGATGAAAGGGGCAGAGGAGCGATGTCAAAGCTAGCAGAGCTTAAGACATGCATGGTGTCTCTGAGCAGAGCACAGCACCATGTCTCTGGGACAGTGAATGTTTTTTGAGAATTCTCAAAAGTGAAGACTATGAGCAGAGCACAGCACCATGTCTCTGGGACATCGTAAGCCCTGCCTACCTGGCAGCTATGTTGCCATCAGTTTTGAGAATTCTCAAAAGCGAAGACGATGAGCAGAGCAGAGCACAGCACCATGTCTTCGGGACATCTCAAGCATCGCCCACCCGGCAGCTCATGAGCATCTGAACATCATGAAGGCCCACCTGGCAGTCCATGAGCACCTGGCAGTCCATGAGCACCTGGCAGTCCATGAGCACCTGGCAGTCCATGAGCACAGCATCGTAGTGCGTGGCGGCGTCTCCCTGTGTCTCTAGCAGCGAGTGACGTTATACCAACCAAGGTGGCCTCTGAGTCAACTCAAAAGCCCCAAAGAGTGCTTTCATGCCGGCAAGCCCACCTGGCAGTCCATGAGCACGGCATCGTAGTGTGTGGTGGCGTCTCCCTGTGTGTCTCTAGCAGCATAGGTGGCAAGAATGGCATCCACTGCCTGCTGCCCGTCACACACCGCCTCCACCTCGCAACCCAGCTTCTGCATTCGGATTATCGCCACCTGAGGGTGTGGGGAGGAGGGAGGAGGAGGAGGAGGGAGAGTAAGAGTGGCAAGAGTAGAATCCACCCGCAACACCCCCTCCACCGCACACCCCAGCTTCTGCATGCGGATAATGGCCACCTGGTGGGTTGGAAAGGAATGGTGGGTTCTACTCGCTTCACCCTGCCAACCCTGACCGCCGCCCTCACCTTGCACGGCAGCAGTGCAGAGTCTTCAGCTATGAGCACTTGCTTGCACAGCATGACCCTTCAACCTTCCTGCCTTCACCCTGCCCACCCACAATCGCCCTCACCTTGCGCAGCAGTCCTCCTGAGCAATGAGCACCCGCATGCCCAGCATGACCCTTCACCCCTTAAAGCTCCGGTATACACTGCGCAGCAGTGCCGTGTCTTCAGCCATCAGCGCCCGTTTTCCCAGCATAACCACCTTCCAAAGCAGCCTCTAAGCGACAGCCTTCACTTCACCCTGCCCACCCACCCGCCCATCCCCTGCCCACCGTCGCCCTCACCTTGCGCAGCAGTGCAGTATCTTCAGCTATCAGCACCCGTTTGCCTGCCAGCGCTGTCTCGAAATTGCCCTCCCCTGCTGCCCCCGGTGAGTGCTGCCATGCCATGCGCCAAGGAAGAGGGATGACCATGTGGGGAGGTGGAGAGAAGGGGAGTGAGAGGGGGAAAGAGGGGGAGGGAGGGGTGAGCGAGGGGGAAGGGGGGAAAGGGTTGAGTCAGGGTAAGGGAAGAGTGCAAGGCAGGGGGGTGTTTTGGAGAGAGGGGGAAGGGGGAGAAGGGGGTGAGTGGGACAGAAGGGCGGAAAGGGGGTGAGTGCAAGGAGGGGATTGTTTTTGAGAATTCTAGAAAAGAAGAAGCTACAAAAAAGAAGGGGAGAAGGGGAGAGGAAGAGATGAGAAGCTGCTTGCATGCAACAATATTGAAGAGAGATGAGAAAAGCGGATGAAGGGGAGATATCTCTTGGCAGGGGGAGAGAGACACACATGCACATGCACACACACACACACACACACACACACACACACACACACACACACACACACACACACACACACACACACACAGGCACACACACACACACACACACACACACACACACACACACACACACACACACACACACACATGCACTCAGATGCAGGCACGTACACGAGCGCACACACACCCCCCTCCCACATGCACATGCACGCACGCACACGCACACGCAAACACGCGTGCGCACGCACACACCTTCATAGACCGAGCGCGACCAACTCTGTGCGTCGACCCCTTGCCACTCCCAACATTGCTCTGACTCTCACTCGCCCCTCCCACGCCCCCTGCCACTCCTGGCCCGTCCGTGGCCCCACCAGCCACAGCAGCTCCAGGAGACCCCACCGCCCCTCCTCCTCCCCCTCCCCCCGCCCCTCCTCCCCCTCCCCCTCCCCCTCCCCCTCCTCCTCCGCCTGCTCCCCTCCCTATTCCTGCGCCTTCCCCCACGCCCCCCCCAGCCATGAGGCGTGCAGACGGAGACATGCCGCCCGCTGCTGCTGCCAGTGATGCCGGGGACGGCAGCGCCCTGCGGGATCCCGGTGCTGACGTGGCGGGCGCCTGTTTGTCGACTGCCACGTCCTCCTCCTGCACTGGCGGGGGGAGCGACCAGCTCTGTGGAATGCGAGAGGGCCGGAAAGGGGAGGGTAGGGGAAGGGAGGGAGGGGAAGGGAGGGTAGGGGAGGGGAGGGGAGGGGAGGGGAGGGGAGGGGAGGGGAGGGTAGGAGAGGGGAGGGGAGACGGCCGAAGGATGAGAGCTGCCACACGTTTGAGAAGAAGGGTGAGTGAGCTTATCATTCAGCCAAAAATGAAGGAAAAAAAGCCCCAAAAAAGGGGGGGGGGAAAAGAAAAGAAACGAAAAGAGAAAAGCAAAACATCAGGGCAGAAGGGAGGGAGCATCTCTCACCGAGTCCTCCCCATGCCAGTGCTGCCCTGAGCCTCCCCCCCGCCACCCCCTCCTCCCGCTCCCCCCCCTCCCTGCTCCCTCCTCCCCGCCCCCGCACTGGGCAGCAGAGGCATCTCAATACTCGAACTCGAATGCGCCACGCCATTCCTCGCCATGGCCAGCAACAAAAAAACAAAACAGAGAAAAACACCAGGCCAACAGGGAGGAAGAGCACCACTCACCGAGTCCTCTCCATGCCAGTGCTGCCCCGGGCCTCCCCCACCTCCCCCACCACCCCCTCCTCCCGGCTCCCTCCTCCCCGCCCCCGCACTGGGCAGCGGCGGCATCTCAATACTCGAGCTCGAATGCGCCACGCCATTCCTCGCCGTCGCCAGCGCCAGCAGCGGCGCCATGCGGGAAGCATACAGCGGCTTGGACGCCACCGCACATCCGGATCTTCTCAGCGACCGCCTGGTATCCGCCGACGTGTTATGCTCCACGAGCCACGCGATCACAAACCCCTGGTGCTGCAGCCTGGCCCGGAAAATATGCAGCTCCTCTGCTATGAATTGATACAGGTTCGGGACGAGGGAGACATCGATTATCGCGAGGACGAGCCGGGAGTTGGCGGAGCCGAAGCTGTTGCCGCCAGGGGTACCTGCGCCGTCGTCCCCGACAGTTCCGGGGCTATTTACCCTGCCGTGCTCGTTGAAGGAGCTTCGGGAGAATGAGGTGGCTGGAGACATGGCTCGGCCGGGACCTGCGCTGCTCCCCACCCCAGATGGACTTGCTGCTGCGGCGCCACTATTTCCCGAGCCTGACGCATAGGGTTGGCTCGGGGGGACACGATCTCTGGGGGTGGTGGGGCGAGGACCAGTAGGACCGGCAGCCGGGCTGGCCGCACCTCCCCCATCCCTAAACGACGCTCCTTGGCTCTGGTTCTGCTCCGGAATCGGACTGAAAACCCCTTCCCTCCCCCCTCCCCCACCTGCACCCACCCTCCCTCCCGCCCCAGCCCCCGCCGGCTGAAACGACCGAGCCAGCGGCGCGGAAAACCCCACCATGGATCTAGACACCCTCGGCTGCAGCCCCGCTCTATCCGACGCCCTGTGGACCAGCATAGACGAGACAGCAGGCATGATATCGCCCCACTGGGTGGCCCGCCACACGTGCAGCTTCCGCCGCTCCAGCCACGCGCAGGCGATGGCGGCGCCAGCGGACTCCTCGCGCATGGCGAGGAGCACCTGGCCGCCCTCGACGGTGGTGAGCTTGGGCAGCAGGAACTCGGGCTGCAGCATACTGTTCTTCCACACGCTGCTGTGGTCCAGCGCCTCAAAGCACAGGTCAAACCGGAACCGAGCCCCCGGGCCTTCCTTGTCTACAACTGCTATGTGCCCTCCCATCAGTTGCACCTGCGGGGGAGGGGGAGGGAGAGAGGAGCAGGAGTGGGAGGGACGGATTGGGTTTTTTCTATTAATGCTATAATCCCTTCCCCCACGCCACCGTATTTACCCTCCTTCTCTACGAATACTAATGTGCCCGCTCATCGGTTGCACCTGGGAAAGGGAGAGCGAGTGGGAGGCCGGCCGGCCATCCCAATTCTCACTCCATGGGCAAGAAGGCTGTGATTGAAAAGACAGCCTTATCAAGGCAAGGAGGGAGCGAGGGTGCGAGAGAGCGAGGGTGTGAGGGAGCGAGAGTGCAAGGGTGTTAGGGAGCGAGAGTGCAAGGGTGTGAGTGAGCGAGAGTGCAAGGGTGTGAGGGAGCAAGGATGCGAGAGAGCGAGGGCGTGAGGGAGCGAGGTGCATTGCAAACCAACCTAACGCTAAAACGGCAGGCCAAACCACCGGAGCGCACCAGGGATTTGACGATGCCGAGGCCGAGTCCCGTGCCGCCATGCGTGCGATTAGTCGAAGCGTCGGCCTGCTGGAAGTTTTCAAACACGAGCTGCCTCTTGTGCGCGGGAATGCCCGGCCCCGAATCATCCACCTCAAACATAAACGTCACCATCCGCCTCTCCCGTGCCCCCTCCTTCCCCCCCGCACCCGCCCCGCCCCCTGCCCCTGCGCTCCCTCCCGCCCCCCCTGCTGCTGCTGCGTTGCCTGCTGCTGTTGAATTGTCGGATGGGTCGCCCTCTGCGCCGCCTGCAGCGTCGGTGGCAGCAGCAGATGTGGTTGAAGCTGACGTGCCGTCCGCGTCATGGCTGGCTCGCCTGGGAGGAGGGGGAGTGAGGGGGGGAAGGGGGAGGGGGGTGGGCAAGTGAGGAGGTGGGGGGGTGGGGGGGAGGAGGAGGACGAGGATGGTAATTTGATAGTTACCATTTGTAAGGATGTGAATGGATTAGCTGGAACGTGATGGGATAGCGGAGCATTGGGGCAAGGGCTCATCAAGTGCGAGCATTAAGGTTGAGTGATCAGGGTGGGAGTAGGGAGGGATGGCTTATGTGGTTCTCAAAAGCCGACTGCTGGTACCATGAAGTGAGGTAGGGGTAAAGATCAAGGTCAGAGGTGAGGGTGGGAAGGGGGAGTTGGGGGTGGGGAGGGAGGCTGTAGGTCTGTAGTAAGGGGACTCATCATGTGTCCACCTCAATGATACCTATATAAATAGTGGATACAAGAGGAGTGGGATAGTGCATCAAAGAAGCAGTGGGACGGACGTGGGAGAGTGGAAGGGAACGAGGCTACACTTGGAATTTTCCTCTACTTCCCTCTGACCCTGACCTCCTGCCTCCCAGTCTCCCTCCCCAATCACCGACTGCGTGCCCTCCTGCCCCTGTCCGCCCGCCCCACCTCCCATGCACCCCCATCTCTTTCCCCATCCCGCAACCGTTCCTCTTCACCCACCAGTGCCCCCCACCTCAATACTTTCCACCTCCCCTCATGCCAATGTGTCACAAACACGGACGCCCCTCATTCTCCCACTCACTTCTTCTCCCCGGGGATGGACAGGTCCGAGTCGCGGAGGTGGGGCGGTGGGTTGTGTCTCATCCACCCCCTCACGATCACCTGCCCGTTCCGCGTGAACTTGCACGCGTTGCTCAGCAGGTTAGCAAACACCTGGCGGGAAGGGAAGCAGGAGAGGATAGACAACGAGGGAGTTGAGGGGCGGAGGGAGACAAGAGGGGGCGGGATACGAGGGAGACAAGGGAGGAGGAGGAAGAGGGAGTCGCAGGGAGAGACGAGGGCAAGCGAGAGTTGCGAAACATCTTGTTGCATTGTGAGGGGGCAGCAGGATGGGAGGAGGAGGAGGGGAGGAGGGGTTTGAAGAGGAATGAAGGGGAAAGGGGAAGGGGAAGGATTGGGAAAAGAGAAGCAAATGCCTGCTTTCTAAATGCAGACTGGGATATGCAGAAATGCCTGCTTTCTAAATGCAGACTGGGATATGCAGAAATGCCTGGCTGACAACAAGCAGAGGCCATGGGTGCATTGTGCATGGGAGGGCTTGGGTACGCAATCATGGTTTTGGCATCCATGCACACAGAACAGAACACACACACACACATACACATGAAACACGCACGCACACACGCACACACACCCACGCACGCGCGCACAGACACACACACACAGACACAGCCACCTTCTCCCATGGAAAGTTCCCCTCTCACCTGTCGGACTCTGGAGGGGTCCCCTTTAACAGTCCGCTCAATGTCATCTGATAGATCCAGAGCGATCTCGGTCCCATTGCTGAGCCCCTGCACGCTGAACATGTCAACGAGCGACTCGAGCTCGCCCACAATGTCAAACTCCAACACCTCCAGCTGCATGCGGCCCGCCTCCACCTTGGCCAGGTCCAGCAGGTTGTTGAGCAGCCCCAGCAGCGACGCGCAGCACGACTTCATCTGCCGTAGGTTGGCTTCTTGTTCGGCTGTTAGGTGGTCGCACAGCATGATGTCCAGCAGGCCCAGGATGCTGGAAGAAAAAAGAAGGGCAGGGGGGAATTGGGTGTGATGGATGGAGGCAGGCAGGGAGTGAGAGGGAGGTGGGCAGGGAGCAGCAGGCATAGGTGCTGCATGCGGCCCGCCTCCACCTTGGCCAGGTCCAGCAGGTTGTTGAGCAGCCCCAGCAGCGACGTGCAGCACGACTTCATCTGCCGCAGATTCGTCTCTTGCTCCGCTGTGAGGTGGTCGCACAGCATGATGTCCAGCAGACCCAGGATGCTGGAACAGGGAAAGGCAAGGGGGCGGGGGGGTGCGGAGGGGAGGAGGAGAGGGAGGGATGGATGGAGGCAGGCAGGGAGGGAGTGGGAGGGAGGTGAGCACACAGGTGAGCACACAGGTGAGCACACAGGTGAGCACACAGGTGAGCACACAGGTGAGCACACAGGTGAGAACACAGGTGAGCACACAGGTGAGCAGAGAGCAGCACCTCCGGTCCAGCTGCATGCGGCCCGCCTCAACCTTGGCAAATTCCAGCAGGTTGTTGAGCAACGAGAGGAGAGAGAGGCCCAACCAACCACTCACTCACCCGGCCATGGGCGTGCGCAGGTCGTGGGAGATATTCGCGAGGAACTGACTCTTGACCTCCGAGGCCGCCTGTGCCCTTTGAGTCTCCTCCTTCTGGCGCTGCAGCTCCTCCTTGGGGCGCATGCGCGTGTCCACATAGAGCGTGAGGAAGATCACCACCACCCACCCCAGCAGCAGCAGCCCCACTGCTACGCAGGATGTGACTATAATCATCGTCTCCATCTCGTGATCCACCGTTCCCATAATAGATGTACGTGGGAGAATGATCACCAGGTACTGGTAGGTTGGAGAGAATGATGGAGAGGGGTGGAGAAAGATGGAGAGGGTTTGGTGGGACAGTTGGGGATATGAAAGAGGTGAAGGTGATCATTAACTCTATCTCCTGATCCATCACCCCCGTTGCAGACGTGCGTGGGAGGATCATCGCCAGGCACTGGTGGGTTAGGATAGGGCAGAGTGGGGAGGGGACACACAAAAGCACTGCTTCCATCTCGTGGTCTACAGCCCCCCACCCCACCACCCATCAGCGAGGTGGTGTGTCAGGGTCAGAGGGTTCTCACCAGGGATTGGTGGACGACTCCGGGGCTACAATAGAGTTGGTCAAGGGCAGCACATACCTGCCAACCTGGCAGAGCCCATGTGCCAACCTGGCAGAGCCCATGTGCCAACCTGGCAGAGCTCATGTGCCAACCTGGCAGAGCCCATGTGCCAACCTGGCAGAGCCCATGTGCCAACCTGGCAGAGCCCATGTGCCAACCTGGCAGAGCCCATGTGCCAACCTGGCAGAGCCCATGTGCCAAGCTGCAACCCCAACTCTAACGTCACCACCAACCAACCACATGGCACACACAAAAAATGTCACACCTTTCCATTCTCTCACGCCGCACTCTTTCCCACCTTCCGTCCATACCAGCCTCACCTTATCAGCTCATCAGCCTCAGCTGATCAACTCCCCTGTCTCCGCTTATCAACTCCCCTGCCTCTGCTTAACAACTCACCAGTCTCAGGTTATCAACGGCGAAGCCCATGCTGCTGACGTACCACGTTCGCCCCACCACGTCCACATTGCTCAGGCTATAATTCCCCGCCACCAGCGCCGGCAGCCCGTACTCCCCCTCCAAATACCGCGCCACACCTGCAATCGTCCCATCCTCCACGTCCGTCGCATTCACAAACTGCTGCAGCCGCCCGTCTTCAGTCGGAGTGGACGTAGCCACCCCAGTGGAAGAAGCCACCAGGAACCCCTCGGAGCTCCCAATGTACATAACGCACCCCTCTATCGTATCCTGCACGAGAAACCGGTTCACAATCCCCACAGAAGACCCTAGAATGAGCACGCCCACAGGGCCGGTTTCCTCTGGGACGTGCACGGCCATGCTGGCGACAAGCATGGGCCCGGACAGGTTCTGAATGGCATTGAATGTCCAGAGGAGATTCTCCTCCCCGCGCTCGATCTGCTGGTAAAGCTCCATCGACCCCAGCCGCAGCGGCTTGAACGGCGTCGGGGTGTTGTTGTTGTTTGCGGGCAGCCCGGAGGAGGCGTTTACGGGCAGGATGAACCAGGGCGCGGTGGAGTTTACGAGGACGTTGGCGGCATAGACCATGGAGAGGGAGCCGTCCTGCGAGGCGAAGGACTGTGTTGCCACGTCGTACTGTGCGTATGTTACAAAGGGGCCTGTCATGCTGTAGTAGCCGAGCGTGGTGATGTGTGGGAGTGAGCTCTTGAAGAACGACCAGAGTAGCGGACGGACCTGGAAGGTGGGGAAGGGAGTGGAAGGGGGATTGGTGGGGATGGTGGTGAACGGGTGGGGGGAATGAGGAGGAAAGGTGAGAAGGAGGGAAGATCAAGTATGCGGTGAGTAGCGTTGAGAATTGGTAGGGTGCTAAAGTTTCCCAGTGTGGACACGTGGTGTGATAATAAGAAAACGGTTTAGTCGCGAAGGCAGATACGTATGAGTGACCCATGCATGCACCCACGGCATGTGCATGCAGCCTTGATGTGATGATGGTATATGCATGTACATGTGATGGCATATGCATGTAGGGATGTCATGCCATCTGTGTGTTTGCATGATTGGAAGGGCATGTGATCGTGCATGTGCGTGGCACACACGCATGTCTGCATTCAAATCCTTCTGCCCGCTACCGCTCACCACAGCCCACCACTGCTCACCAGTCTGAGGTTATCGTTAAGGGTTAGATTCCACGTGCGCAGCGGCTTGAAGGTGATTTCGAGCACGGAGGAGAGCGACACGAGCACGTCGCGGTCGCGGTTTATGTACAACAGGAACTGCTCCTGCACGCCCACTAGGGTCTTCTCGCGCAGCCTGCAGAGGGGGGGGGGCGGGCGCTTTAAGAATCAGTCGTAACGAGGGAAAGGGAAGGAAGTGAACACAGCAAACCCGATCCGGTCGTGTACAGCAAACAGAAACCGCTGCTGAATCCGACTAAGGTCTGTTCGTCAGCCTGCGGAAGAGAGCGCGGGAGGTGGGAGGCCGCAGAAACCCGTGTTCTTGAGCTTCCTCTAGAACGACGGAAAGGGTAGGGCGGGAAGGGAAAAAAAAAAAGACTGCCGTTAACCTTCAAGCAGCGTGGGGAACTCTGGCAACGGGACGCGCGACTCAGCAAACTGGACCCCAATCTGTCGTTTTGAGCAGCCCAGGCATGGATTTGGCGTCAGGCTTCACAGGCGGCTGAGATCGTTTGAAACGAAAACACGTCCAGGGGGGAACAAGACGGACGCGACTCACACGGTACGGCGGAGAATTGCGAAATATGCGGCTAAGATTGGTCAATTGTGGCGCAGATTGTGGCGTGCGATGATTGCGTTGCGTGGGGCCGGCGGGGAGCGGAATAGCGAGCGGGGAAGGTGGGGAGCGGGAAGGACGGGGAGCGGGAGCGGGCGAACGTACTGAAGGGCGACGGCGTCAAGCGATTGGCTGTAGACAGTTCTGGCGGCGAACCACGTGCCGACCGTGAGCACCACCACCACTATCACCAGAAACGCCTGCCAACCCCATCACCAACAGATTCTCAAGCGTGAGCACCACCACCACTACCACCAGAAACACCCATCAGTGACTGACAGGCAGGACAGACGAACCCTAATCAGACTAGCGAGATTAAGAACGTTCCACGACTGACGCACATGATCACTGGCGACAGGACGTCCGGAGTGGTGAACCAAGTCTAGACCAGACAGGACCAGCGAAAGCTGCGTTCTAGTCTAGAGGCAGGAACAACAGGGACCTGAGAGAAACGGATCCGTTAGGCTTCGGACGAAGAGACTCGTTAGGGTTCGGACGACGAGACTTTTTACCCACAATTAAGCTGAGTGCAGCAACGGGCCTACGATTGGATTTGAAATCAATGATCCACGGGAAAACATAAGAGTAATAGACTCTAGACTTGCGCGCAGCTCCTCCAGCTCTAAGCTAACCAAAATTGAGAAAATGCTAAATTCCTGCCCTAGTCCTTACGAACCACTTCGCGGAGTCGTTACACGCAGTGCGACGAAACTCCGTGCTCGCAAATTTCCAGTTTGTCCAAACGCTACGACGGACGCTCGACTATAGACGCTCGTTAACTTTTATAGTCACCCCCCGGAAATATGCTCTTGTTGTTCGGACCCTCAAAACGTTAATTAATGAGAATCGTCGTCCTGCTTCCAGTATCAGTGTGAAAAGTAAGGAAGCTGTGAGCTGGTCTGGACTGACTAGCCCTCGCTGGACGTAGGATCACGTAACGTTACTGCTGTTAGCCGTACGATGACGTACCATCATAACTAGCCGAGTGATAAAAACGGGGGATTGGAAGTGCTGCATCAACTGCTGCCGTTTCGACGGCTTCTTCGTCAGGAGTGCGTCTTCCTCCTCCGCTCCATCCCCAGCTTCCTCCCCCGCTTCCTTCTCCTCTCCCTCCGGTTTCGCTTTATTCTTCGTCGCGACCTTCTTCGCTTTGCTCGCCGCGCCTGAACTCGCCACTCGTTGCGCTTCCTCGTCATCTTCCCCCGCGTCTGCGTCTTGTTCTGGGAATCCCATTCTACAGAATCGGTTCGCGCTAAGAACGCCGCACATCTGCAGAGCTCGCTCTCTCCTCGTCATGGTGACTCTCACCGGCGAATGAATCCCATTGTCCCAATGACTGTCGCCTACTTCGTCACTTACGCCACTCTCGCGACTATGCGACTGGCTAATGGTTGGCAGCTCGCTTGGCATGTCCTGGGAACCGACTGATTACACCACAATATTAGCAGGACATGCATTCAGGGTTGTCTAGGAGGCTAGGACCGCAAGGGATCGGTATGCTGTTATCAGAACAGAAATGATAGGCCGTGGTGTCACTACTGTACACAGCCGACGAGAGGATCTCGAGGGTACAGGCATCTGGGAAGGTAACTTGGCAACCGAACGGATCACGGCAAAACCTATGTGAAGATGCCAATCTCGAGAGACATTGCTTTACTGGTTAGTCACCGCAATATACCGTTGCTATATTTTCCTGCACCCTATTGAGATGCGCCCAACCTCGTGGCAACGGGAGGTCCTGATCCTGGACCTGTACCCGTTGTGAAACAAGCTGGCAGGGGCGGTCTGGGAATGCCGATGGGTCAACAGATACGTGGATCCAGGTACAGTCAGGTCGCATTTCGGGCAACTTCCAAACAATCAACTTCCTAACAAGCGACTTCTTTCCGATTTTCTGAGACTCTGTACGACTTCATGCGATGTGAACCTCCTGACAACTCTGTATCAGCTGCCCGAACAATTGCGACCCAGTGTTACCATTTGTTACCAAGTGACAGGTCGTCGCAGATAGGTGAAATGTTCCGCCACTTTAGTGGCTGCGAACCGCCACTGTACATTTGCGACAGACAACGTCAGCGATGGATGTTGTTTCTTCGGAGGTGCAAAAACCAACCTCCTAACAAGTTTGGCGTGTGCGACGACCAACTTGTTAGGAAGTTGGTTGTTTGGAGGTCCGAAATGCGACCTCAGAGGAGGAATGCATCTCCGCTGGCAGTCAGGCAGCAAAAGCGAACCCAAGGCGAGGCGGGGCAAGGTGAGCCCACACCGCAAAACCATCCGCCTCGCGCGAAGGTTGTGGAAGTGTGGAAGAGAGGAATGGGGACGGGCAGGGGAACGGTGAGCGGATTGTCCCAACTACCACTGGCACCAGCATGGCAGCTGACTCCAAAAGCAGGAGGGCGGGCGGGATGATAGCGTACGTGGAACTGATGAGTAGCGGAAAACCAAGGGGCACTGCTAGAGTGGAACATCGCGGGAAAATGTTCTTCGACACTACTCACCGAACCACACTGCCCACTACAAAAATCGGTGGAAGGAAACATAGGCGACAAATGTGAAATTCCCCGTACTGTAACGACTCAAGTTCCATTTGAACCGAGGCGACACGTTCGCAATAGTGTTGCGACTGCCTGGTATGGTCGAGCAAACCAATGACCAGTGCAGCGAGACTGCATTTCGTTGAATCCATTCTCACTAAACAAACGTCTTTTACAACAAAAACCCCCATTTTATTGATGCATAAAAACACTCAAGGGTAGAGTGTGGAAACCTACTATGTGCCTTCAATCATCAAAGCAGAGTAACTTGGTAACACATTTAAGAGTTTTATTAACCAAGGCAGTTTGGCGCTCCTATTGTAGTTGGTATACACCATGTCGAAGCTAGCCTAAGAGTTACCATACAACGCACATGGTCCTACACAAGTCAGAAAAACACTCTGGTTCCCAAGCAGCATCAAGCGGCGACCATTAGTAGCAGCAACCATGCACTCGCTGTGATTGCAAGGAGTAGCCACGAGGCCTTGGCGAAAGGCGGGCTTGCTTTGAAGTATGAGTCTGACCCTGGCCGCTGCTTGGGTGCTGTACACAGAAAGAGATCACCAAAACAGAGAATTAGCATAATAGAAAGGGCGAGGGATTTAGGGAGGAGAGAAATGGGAGAAGAGAGAAAGGGCAAGAGAGCAAGTGGGAGCAGAAGGGAGTGTGCTGATCCGCGTGCATGCTGATCCCAGTGGTGTTCCCCGGTGCATACACAGACATGGCACGGCGGCACACTCACTCCTTTGCAGACCCACACATCCCCGTCTCCTTCCGCTCTTCCACCCACTCTCCCCCACTTTCTCCCCATACTCACCAGCAGCAGGCGTGTTGAACCCAGAGGCATTCTCCGGCGCGCATACCAGCAGCAGCACGTAACGTGGTGGCACACTTATACCCCAAAAACTTAACCCCCCTCCCCTCTTCCACCCACTCTCCCACCCCTGCGCACCAGCAACAGGCGTGCTGATCCCAGTGGCGTTCTCCGGCGCATACACCAGCAGCAGCCCGTGGCAGGGGGTGACACTCACTCCCCCAAAACTCAACCCTCCCTACCCCCTCCACCCACTCCCCCCTTACTCACCAGCAACAGGCGTGCTGATCCCAGTGGCGTTCTCCGGCGCATACACCAGCAGCAGCCCGTGGCGGGGGGCGACACTCACTCCCCCAAAACTCAACCCTCCCTACCCCCTCCACCCACTCCCCCCTTACTCACCAGCAACAGGCGTGCTGATCCCAGTGGCGTTCTCCGGCGCATACACCAGCAGCAGCCCGTGGCGGGGGGCGACACTCACTCCCCCAAAACTCAACCCTCCCTACCCCCTCCACCCACTCCCCCCTTACTCACCAGCAACAGGCGTGCTGATCCCAGTGGCGTTCTCCGGCGCATACACCAGCAGCAGCCCATGGCGTGGCGGCACGGGCGGGCGGTCACCAATAGCGGGGCCGTAGGCGGGGTGCATGACCTCTGACATCACCTCCAGCTTGCCCTGCTCCACCGTGTCCCAGTCCTCCTTGAGAATGCCGCCCGTGTCCTTCGAGTTGGGTCCCCACGTGAACCACGTCCACGACAGCTGCTTCTTCCTGGTGGGCAGAGAAAGTAGAGGGATGGAGGGGGTGTGACATGAGGCAAGGAACCGAGAGGAGCCTTCAGCAAGGCGGCCCTGTGTCCTTGGAGTTGGGTCCCCAAGTGAACCACGTCCACGACACCTGCTTCTTCCTGGTACACAGAATAAGGAGGAAAGGGGAAGTGGATGGGAGAGGAGACCATTTTGGGGCGGGCACGTAGACGAAGCGGGGGTGCATTACCTTTGAGATAAGCTTCGTATCGAGGAATAGAGAAGATGAGGGGAGGTGGAAGAAAAATGACGGGAACGGGACCTTCGTTCCCCCAGCCCCCTCATTTCCATACCCGTTTTAACCTCACCTGATGAAATTTCTTAGCGCGGCGACCCACTTCATCTCGCGTTGACTCAGCTGGTCCGTTCCGTCCACCGGCAGCACGCTCACCCACTCGCCCACCCACAACCCCAAGATCCATCCCCGTTATAGCCTCACCTAATGTAGTTTCTAAGCGCGGCGACCCACTTCATCTCGCGTTGACTCAGCTGGTCCGTTCCGTCCACCGGCAGCATGCTCCCCCACTCGCCCACCCACACTGGCGCGATGCCCTGATCCGCCACATACCCCCACAGCTCGTCCCAATACCCCTCCAGATTCGCGGGAAACGCGGGGTCGTACAGCCACGGCTGCCCGTCTTTGACCATGGGGCCGTAGTCGTGGATGGAGTAGGCGAGCTTGTAGGGGATGTTGAGCTTGAGCGGGTAGAAATAGACAGGTCGCAGGTTCGATCCCCACCAGCAGTCGTCTCCGTCCAGGCCTTGCACGAAGATGAGCAGGTCCGGGTTCACCGCCTGCACCACGTCCGCGGCTCTGCGAAAAGGAGAGGCGAGGGAGGGGAGTGGTAACATATGTTACACGAGGAACGTCGACGAGCAGGTCGGGGTCGGGATTCGCTTAAGAGCACTGCTCAAAGCACGCAGAAACAAAACGATAGGGGAGGGCGACAATTACGCCCCCTGCCGCGACGCTCACGCACCTCTTAGCCGCCGTGCGCATCTCTCAGCTCAACCCTTACCGACCCCCTCCGCACCGCACCTCTTAGCCGCCGTGCGCCAGTTGTACGGCTCGTTCACGCCGTCCGCCTCCCACGTGACGTCCGGATGCGACGGGTCGCGGTGCGGCTCGTTGAACAGGTCAACGCCGACCACGGTGCGCTCGCCGTAGTAGCGCGACGCGAGCAGGTTCCAGTTATCGAGCCACACGCGCTCCGGGTTCCCCAGGTCGAACCACAGCCCCGCGTCCGCGGCGTAGTCGGGCGGAAGTGCGGGGCTGACGCGCGAGTTGCTGAGGATTACGCGGATCCCGCGAAGCTTCGCTCCCGCGATCACCGCATCCATCACCTCGAGAGTCGATAGACCCTGCGCGGAACGGCGGGAGGAACGCGCGTAAGACAAAATGAGGAAAGCGGAAAGCGGGGAACGTGGAAACACGGGGGAAGCGCGAGTTAAGCGGAGCTGGTGGGATGTGCCCGCGATCACCGCGTCCATCACCTCTAGCGTCGAAAGACCCTGCAGGGAGTGGCGGGGGGAAAGCAAGAAAGAAGGGGGGGTACGGAATCTTGGGGGAGGCGCGAAGAGAAGCGGAGCTGGTGGGATGTTACCTGCTGGCCGCCGATGATAACATTGTCATGAAATGCGGCGGGAGATGCGGCTGGAGATGCGACAAGAGACTCAGCGAATCAATCTAGCAACCTATCTTACGAGGCGGCGTTGAGGTGAATTTCTGACGTACATCATTCCTATGACTAGACGTTGACATTCTGGATTTGCGTGTGAACCTCTTGCGTTACGGCTTGTGCGGATCTTAATCTACCTCGAGTTCCGGGTTTTTCTTGAAGTCGATGGACCCGTCTGTCGGGCGAATTGACGGCGAAATGCACGACGTGGCGAAGTTGAGGCGAATAACGTTGAACCCGAGCGACGCCATCTGGTCCAAGTAATCGCCGAGCCCGCGCGCCCATAGCCCGTCAGCGACGCAATTCGCGGCGTCGAATCCGTTCCAGTTGACCCCAGAGAACTGCACCACGCGGCCCGCCTCATCCAGAATCTGGCTTCCCACTGCGAACCAATAGCCGTCGCCCAGCTGGCTCGCGGAGGCAAAGCGCGGAGCGGCGCAGGAGGCGGCGAGAAGGAGGATGAGAAGGGAGGTTCGCCGGATTAAGGAGGTGGCTCCGGTCGCCATCGCGGCTAGAGGGAGGGAGAGGCGAGCCGTTCAGGCGGGTAATGGATCAAGCGAACGGATAAGTATAGTTATTTACTGGGATTATGCATAGTAAGAGCCTGGGATGGCACTAGGAGGTCTACTGCTTGAGCCTGAGATGCTAGGGATCCAGCCTTGTGCTCGGTGTCGAGCTTTCAAGCTGCCGCGAGATCTTTGACGGCTCACGCTCTCCCTCGCTCGCTCAATGCTATATCTCCTATGTAACAAGCCTTCAAGTTTATCATAGCTCAATGGCCGCAGCTGAATGTCATGTCACAACTTGAGCCAAGGCAGGGCGGACGGGAAACAAGAGGGACCAAAGTGTCGGACGGGTGGGCATGGCTGGTGATTGGTTTGTTGGGGCACGAAGTGTGGGCTATGGTCAGACCATAGCGGTCGTGCGAATGAAAGGGTTGACAGGGAATTTGTCCCATCTCAAAATGCACTCACAACCGCCCCAACACAGTCTCTCCCCGTCATTCGCGAACTTTAGAAGCTCAGATGCGCTGCGCCGTGACAATTGACGCGGCTCGAACGGCACGACACTGGTGCTGACACACCTGTCTGTCTTCCTGGTTACCACATTCGGCATCGCGAAGGTGCTCGGTCGCGTCGCAGCGATGCGATTGGCGGCTGACCGACACAGATCAGCAGCACTTTCAGTGAATTTGGGACAGGGTGAAGTGGCTACCTTTTACTGGTTGGTTGATACGCGCTACAAGATTGTGACCCTACAAGTTGGTAATATACCAAAAGCGTGAATGAGTAAATACCCTACCGAACTTTTCTAACGCTCCCCGATTCTGGCACGTTCTTATATTGGATGGTTGTTTCCAGCAATCTTCCCGCCTGCCTAGTTCAGAACATCTGGAATAGTTGTGACAAGCCTCACGCACTCCGCCTTTCTAGGTTCCTCTTAGCAAGCTGCCCCAACAGCTGTCAACTATTTGACACTTCACGAATCAGGACCTTCTTGACTGCTTTGTTCTAGCAGTGCCACTGCGTCCTCCTAAGTTTCGTCTTGAACAGAAGGCGTTGGATTTTCTTTTCGGTTCGTTTCTTTTTGTCGTAGAACGGGACAGAATGTCTGCCAGGAGGCGTACTTTGCTGAAGGTCATTATCCTCGGGGATAGCGGGTGCGTAGGCTGTATATTTCCGCGTTCTTGCTAGCTTTTTAACGTCGCGTACCGAGATTTTCTAACTCTCCTCGTGTTGGTGTTGTTTTTTTTTTTTTTTTTTTTTTTTTTTTTTTCGCAGCGTCGGAAAGACGTCGCTTATGAACCAGTAAGCAGTCAGTGTGTGGTTCGCTGTAGTTCCAGTCGTCGCATATTTGTCCTTTAGTGGCCTCGATGGAGCTGTTGTTTCGTCTTCTGACCAGGGTCCCTGTGTTGTTCCATGTAGATACGTGAATAAGAAGTTCAGCGCACAATATAAAGCCACGATTGGAGCCGATTTTTTAACGAAGGAGGTCCAAGTAGACGACAAGCTTGTAACCATGCAGGTACATCGTACCTTTCCAGCGGTGTATTTTTGCGGAGTAAAGGGAGGGGGTGGGGGTGTGTGGGGGGGGAGGAAGGAGAGCGGGGGAGGTTAGAAGGGGTCAGATGTTGTCGGATTCCGTCAGTCAGCCTTCGCGATCTGGGAAGTCTTTTCTTATACGGCAGTCAGTTGACATTCTAACACCTTTTCGTTTCGATCCAGATCTGGGATACAGCCGGGCAGGAGCGGTTTCAGAGCCTGGGAGTGGCGTTTTACCGGGGAGCGGACTGCTGCGTGCTGGTGTACGACGTGAACGTGATGAAGTCGTTTGAGAACCTCGATAACTGGCGGGAGGAGTTCTTGATACAGGTGCGTTTCGTGCTTATTACAGGTGCGTGCCGTGGTGGCTAATCACAAGTGCAAGCCGTGGTGACTTGAGTGCGTGCCTTGGTGCCTTATCACAAGTGTGTGCCGTTGAACCATCTTACAATGTTAAGGACATGATCGCGGCTTGGAAGAAACATTATCAGCAATAGAACTGTTAACCTTGAGAGCAGAGCTGACGCCACCCTTGTGTGTCTTGTCCTCCCGCCACGTGGACAGGCCAACCCAGCAGAGCGGGATCTGTTCCCGTTCGTGGTGCTCGGCAACAAGATTGACGTGGACGGTGGTAACAGTCGCGTGGTAAGCATCTGCACTGCACAGGTGTTTTCTATGGATCACCCCTGCTCGCATGTTCAGAAACCCCAGTTCGTGCTGCAGGCGCTCTTAGTGTACTGCCTCTTGTTTCTCTCGTGTTCCTCTCATCCCCCTCATTTCCCTGCCCTGCTCCAGCGTCCTCGCATTATTTGTAAATCCCCTCGACCCCTCACGCCCGTGCCTTTTTCTGCGTGCCCCTCTCACGCCCCTCTCATGCCTCGCTCAGGCCCCTCTCACGCCCCTCTCATGCCCCTCTCATGCCCCTCTCGCGTACCTCTCTCATGCGTGGTCTGCAGGTATCGGAGAAGGTGAAGGCGTGGTGTGCGGCCAAGGGCAACATCCCCTACTTTGAAACGTCTCAATAATAAATAGACCCCTCTCGCACCTCCCTTTCTTGCCCCTCTCGTGCGTGGCACCAGGTATCGGAGAAGAAGGTGAAGGCATGGTGTGCGGCCAAGGGCAACATCCCCTACTTTGAAACGTCCGCCAAGGAGGATTACAACGTGGAGGCCGCCTTCCAGTGCATCGCCAGAAACGCGCTCAAGAACGAAACCGAGGAGGACTTGTGAGTGCCCGCCTGTCATGGGCTCTTGCGCCCTTGCTCTCTTGCGCCCTTGCTCTCTTGCCCCGTCTTTCCTCTGAACATTTGCAGGTGACCTTGAGGTATTGTTTATAATTTTGAGAGCATTACCTCTCCCCCCTTTCCAAGGCTACTTCTCTGCGATCCTAGTCTCTGCTCCCACTTCTCCCTCCTTGACCACTGTGTGAACTGTGCTTATGTGTTAATGTTTCTTGTGGTGATTTATTGTGCTGCAGCTACTTGCCAGACACCATCGATGTGAATGCTGCCCGGGCTACCAAGGCATCGTCATGTGAATGCTGAAATGGAGTTTTGATTGTTTGCCCCTGCCAGAAGATATATACAGCAGCTAGTGCCAATCTTCAACACTAGCTTAAAAGACTGTTACAGCGATTGATCGATATCTCAGGGCTTGTACAGCAGTTATTGTAAGCTCTTTGTGAATGCATCAAGGGCAATGAGGCAGCTTCGCCCTAAATTTGACAGTTCACCCCTGCCAAAGCAATGAAAATGAAGTTAGTTGGGATTGTAAATGGCCAATGAAACAGCTGAGGAAGAGGGACACAGTAACTTACGTTAAGGGGCAGGCGCGTGTGGCATCTGCTATCATGTCACATATGGATGTCGGTGCTGCTTCTCCCCCTTCTGCTGCTGCTGCGGCAGCTGCTGCGGCCTCGCCTGCTGCTGGTGCCGCCTTCTTTCTGCTCGACCTCTTCCCCCCTGCAGAGGGCTTCTGTGCTTCCAGCGATTCGAGGATTGCATTGGGATTCAAGTCAAAGTACGCCTGGGAAACAGGAACGCATTGGGATTCAAGTGAAGTGTTTGGGGACAAAACAAACATGGTATCGTATAAATGCTAACTGTGGAGGTAAGAATGGGCGTGGATTTTTGACTCTCATGATGGAGGATGAGAATGTGATGGCACAAGTGGACATGCGATCATGATGGAGCAGCAGTGCATGAGTGTGGTGTAGGAGCGTGCTTAGAGCACTGAAGGCATGTGCGTGTGGAAAGAGGGGCATATGAGGTGTGGAGAGGGTACATGAGAGTGCTGATGCTTGAGAGCATATCTATGCAAAAGAAAGACTGGACTCTTGGCACAGAAGGGCACACACCTGGCAGGCGTGGCACAGCAGCACGGCCAGCAGATCGCGCTTAATCTGCGAGCCTTTGGAGAGCTGGGCCACGTTGCTGCACCCCAGGTGCTGCAGCAGGGCAGGCAGGGTTGTCCTGCCCACCCCCACCCCCATGGGATCTGCTGCCAGTGACGCCCGCAGCTTCTGCTTATGAGTTGTGGTGGGTGACGGTGGGTGGTAATGGGTGGTGGTGGGTGGAAGTGGGTGGTGGTGGGTGCAGTAGTAGCAGTGAGAGCAGAGGGTGCAGGGCACATGGTGAGGGTGGGATTATTATCCAGGATTGGCAAGAAATAAGTTGATGGCTCAAAATAGCAGCAACATTTTGGTGTATTCGGGGGAGTTACAATAGATGTGTTACATCCGATGGTGACATATAAAAGATATATCAGGGTTACGCTTGATGGGCTCCACACCTGGCATTACACCTGCCATTACACCTGGCAATAAACCTGGCATTACACCTGCCATTACACCTGGCAATAAACCTGGCATTACACCTGGCGTTACACCTGACAGACTCACGACAGAGCCGAAGCGAGAGAAGAGGAGAACGATGAGATGATACTTGTGACATGGATCCACCATGGTCTGATGGGCGATGGCATGGGGCGGCACAATGCACATGCAGCACAGCGGCAACCACCATGACCATATGAGATGCCAGGGTGAGGGTGATGAAGCACATTACAACATGCTCTTATGAAGCTGAGTACAGTATAGCACAGCAGGAGCAGTCTGTAACATGCTCAGCTGCAAGAGTTGGCAGTGCTGAGCATACAATTGAGATAGAAAAACTTGGTGCTTTGAGCGAGCATCAACATTCTCCTCACCTGCATGAAGAAGCTTTTGAGTCGACTCAAAAGCTCCTCACCTGCATGAAGAAACTCTTCTTGGCAACACTTGGCTCCAATGCAAAGAGCCTCACCAGCCGATCCTCCAATGCCTCCCTGACTTGCCACACCGAGCATGCAATGCAGAAGGAGAGAGAAGGAGGGTGAGATGCGGCGCACGCTGGAGGAGCGGAAGAGGGGGGCGCCAGGCAAGAGTCATGAGAGAGGGATAAGGAGGTAGCACAATCGACTCGGTGAAGATGCACCGGGGTAAGGGCATGCATTGGAGTGGAGTGTTTCTGAACGTAGAGGCTCACTTCTCATTCCTCGCTCTGCGGTAGCCATCATTGTCTGCTATGATACCATGCAGATCCAACACCTGCTCACACAGTGTCGGACGGACGGATGCCATGTCAAGGGGGTTTTTGAGGCGCCTCAAAAATCGGACGGACGGATGCCATGTCAAGGGGGTTTTGGGGTGTTAATCACCCCGTTGATCAACACCGGCAGAGAGTTTTGGGACGCCTGTGCGGGAGATGTTTTGATAAACATCTTGATAAATACCCTGCTCACAGTGCCACACACCAGTGCGGGTGATTGCAAGGCGAACAAATTGGCAGCGACTCATACAGGGTACAAGAGTGGGACTGAGGAGCACCACTTGAGCAACTCACACAGTCAGGAGCACCACTCTGACAGTCACAGCACCACTCTGACACTCACAGTACCACTCCGAGACTCACAGCGCCCAGCAGCAGCTGAGCTGCTCGAGCCAGCTCCAGGCGATTGGGAGCGACACATGCACGTGCCCTCCCCACACACTCACGCTTCACCTCCTTCTGCTCCACTGCCCCCTGCACTCCCTCCTTCCCCTCCTTCCCCTCCTCCCTCTCCTTTCCCTCCTTCCCCTCCGTTCCCTCTGACCCTCCCCCTCGACCCTCCTTCTCAATCCTCTCTTCGCCACCCAATTCGTCCTTCACTCCCTCCTTCCCCTCCTCGCCCTGCTTCCCCTCCTCGCCCTGCTTCCCCCCCTCGCCCTGCTTCCCCCCCTCGCCCTGCTTCCCCTCCTTGCCCTGCTTCCCCCCCTCGCCCTGCTTCCCCCCCTCGCCCTGCTTCCCCCCCTCGCCCTGCTTCCCCCCCTCGCCCTGCTTCCCCCCCTCGCCCTGCTTCCCCTCCTTGCCCTGCTTCCCCTCCTCCTCGCCTCCCTCCCCCTTTCCAGCACGCTTCCTGCTTCTCCCTGGCTCTTCATCTTCATCCCTTTCTTCCACCTCCCCTCCCTCGTCTCCCCCTGCTCCCTTTTCCTTTCCCCTTCTCTTATTCCCCTGCCCCACCCGCTCACTATCGTTCTCCTCGTCCTCCTCTTCTTCCTCGTCCTCCTCCTCCCCAGCACAAGCAAACACAAGAGCCACAACGCTCTCCCACAGCTGCTCCAACCCTAGGGGTCCCTGGCCCTGTCGTGTGCAAGGCAGGGTAATGGAACGTCAAAGAGGGAGGGAAAGAGCGTGGTGGTGGAAGAGAGAGGCAAAGAGCGTGAGTGAGGTGAGGACCACCACGCTCTCCCGCAGCCTCTCCGATTCCGGGGGACCCTGGCCCTGTCGTGTGCAAGGCAGGATACAGGGAACATCCCTCATTCCCGGGGAATGAAGAACCAGGGAATGAGGGATGGGCGGGGGACCACCACACACTCCTTCTGAGAGAAACATCCCACAGTGGTCAATCTGACTTGACTGACTTGCCTGGAGGAATCGGAAGAGCAGCGTTGACTTGATTGACTCCACGCGCCGATACTTGGAGAGAGATGCTGCGATGGCAGGCAGGCAGTGGCAAGGCACAAGAAAGAAAGAAAGAACAAATCGCAGAGGAAGGGAATAAGTGCAGAGGAAGGGAATAAGTGCAAGGATTAGTAAGGTTAGGAGAGGGGGGGTAGTTGGGGGAAGTTGCTGTGGAGGGCATCAGCTAACGGTGCGTGTGTGGCAGGGCGAGGTGCGGTGAGGGTGCAACAGGGCGAGGTGCGGTGAGGGAGCAACAGGGCGAGGAATGCTGCTGAAAGGGGGAGGGGGCTCTCACGGGACATGAGCAGAGAGAGTGGCCATGGTGTGGCGGTGGCTTTTGAGAATTCTCAGAGTGGCCATGGTGTGGCGGTGGTGAATTGTTGGGTTGATCTTGAGTACAAATCTGAGTCGACTCAAAAGTCAACTAGGACATGAGCAGAGAGCGGCGGTGGTGGTAAAGTTGTGGGTTGAATTCCTAGGCGGCTCAGAAAAGGAGAAGAGAGAGAGCTCACGAGTGGTGAGCAGCGTGTGGCGGCGGTGGTGGAAGTCCCTCAGAAGAGCGTCGATGATGAGAAGCAGCAGCCGGCACGATGCCAGCGACTGGAAATGGTAGAGGAGGAGAGGACAGGGGCAGATCAGGGACAGGGCAGATCAGGGACAGGGCAGAAAGACACGACAGGACAGGCAGAAGGGGCAGCACAAGGTAGGGCAGGGCAGAGAGGCAGGGCAGACAGGCAGGGCAGACAGGCAGGGCAGACAGGCAGGAAAGGACAGAAGGGCAGGTCATGCAAGAGCTGCTTTACGAGTCAGTAGTAGTCACGTAAATCAACTCCACCAGATGGAGTCTCACTTTTGGAAATTTCCAATTCTGAATCCACCACGTTGAAATAACAAGTTGAGGTTGCTTACTCGACTGATATGCCATGCCGGATGGCATAACCGACACATGCGATGTGGCATGCTTACCTGGCACATGCGATGTGGCATGCTTACCTGGCACATGCGATGTGGCATGCTTACCTGGCACATGCGATGTGGCATGCTTACCTGGCACATGCGATGTGGCATGCTTACCTGGCACATGCGATGTGGCATGCTTACCTGGCTCATGGCTTCGTCAGCCGCAGCTTCCTCCTGCTCCGCATCCTCCACTCCCCCAGCTTTCTTCCCCATCCCTCCATCACCCCTTCCATTTCTCTCCCTTCCACCTGCTTCCCCTCCATGTGACTCTCCAGCACCACTTTCCACCGCACTCGACGCCTCTCTATTGCTGTGTGACCTCAGCACCCTGGTGTTGACTGGCTGTGCGCTGCTGCCTACTCCAGATGCCACCTTCACCAGCTGTACCTCCCCGGAGCGCTCTGCAGCACGCGCAATACCACTTGAATCCTTCACTGCAAGGTCCTTCACCTCCTCCACTCCTTCCTCACTCTCCTTCACTCCCTCACTCTCCTTCACTCCCTCACTCTCCTTCACTTCCTCACACTCCTTCACCTCTTCATCCCCTTCCACTCCCTCACTCTCTTTCACCTCCACACACTCTTTCACCTCCTCACACTCTTCCACTTCCAAAGCACTACACTCTACCACACCACTCTCCACCACCACACTGCCCTTCACCTCCTCAATCTCACTCGCACTAACCTCCAACACTTCATCATCACCCCCTTCCCCCATCACCTCCACCTCCCTCACTCCCCCATCATCCGCATCGTCACTCGCCTTTCCCTGATCCTCCCCTTTCTCCGCCTCAGCAGCCCGCTTCCCCCGCACCCTCCGCCCAGCCACACCTGCCCTTCCCCCCCTCCCCCGCCTCTTCTTCCCCCTCCCTCTACCCGCTTCTCTGGAAACCCGCACTTCCTCCACACCTTCCTCCTCTTCCCCCTCTGTGGAGGGGGCCTCCGCTTTTCCTTTTCTCCCATCCTTCTCTTGCTCAGCCCCCTCACTCCTCCTCTCACTCACGAGCTGATCCTTCCTGGCAGCTTCCTCTTCCTTCCGTTCACCCTCCACTTGCATCGCTTCCCCTGCGCCCCCCTCTACTTTCATGAACTCTGCACGCTTCCTCTCCCTGTCCCTGTCAGCGTCCACGTCAGCGTCCACATCAGCCTTGACGTCAGCATCCACGTCAGCCACCACGTCAGCATCGTCTGCAGCGCCACTGCCTTGCTGCATAGCTGTCACTGCCTTGGCTGCAGCAGAGAAGAGACCTGCAAGGCTCTGCCAGCTCAAGAAAAGAGGAAACGAGGACGCATGAGAGGCGCAACTTATACAGTCCAACTGACAAACACATATGTAGACAATAATAAATGCAGCTAATAAGAAACTGAAACTGGCGATCTCATGTCCCACCTTCCTTCCCCTGTTCAGACGGAAAAGTGGAAGTGGAAGCTCAGGAGCCAGGAACTGACACGCGCGAGCACGAAGAAGGGGGCTTAACGCACCATGTGTTTGTGGGATGGTGTGGGCGAGTCGTAGCCGATGTTGGGCAGCCACGCCTGTCATGATGCCATGCCATGCCATGCCATGCCATGCCCCATGCCATGCCATGCACCGTGCCATGCCATCGCATGCAACCCCATGCCATTCCCGAAAGAGACAGACCAATGAGGGGGAGACAAGTGGATGAGACGCCATGGTGATGCACATATGCATGTAACAAAGTGACACCTTTCCCACTCCCTCATCTTGCTCACCTTAGCTTTTTAACCTCACTCCATTCCTGTCACTTCTTGCGCCTCACCCCACTTCCCTCACACCTCTCCCACCACCCCTCCTGATCCCCCGCACCTCGTTCCCTCCATTCCCCTCCCCGCACCTCGTTCCCCCCATTCCCCTCCCCGCACCTCGTTCCCTCCATTCCCCTCCCCGCACCTCGTTCCCCCCATTCCCCTCCCCGCACCTCGTTCCCCCCATTCCCCTCCCCGCACCTCGTTCCCTCCAGAGGCTTCAGTGAGGGCGAGCAGGGAGGCAGCGCGCCACACCAGCTGGCCCTCCTTGGAGCTGCGCACCACCTGAGCCATGCGCTGCCGCAGACCCCTGGCAGGCACATGAACACATACTCGTTACAAGGTGACCTGTTACTCGGCTTTGTACATGTGCTGCCGTAGACACCTGGCGAGAAGATAAAAACCTACTCATTACAAAATGACCTGAGTCAGCTTCGCATGATTGATTGCGGAAGGAGGGCACCTCACCTGGGGATGTGTGGAGCGAGCGGATGGTGGGTGAGCTCTGACATGGCGAACAGGAAATAGGCCACTGTAGGGGGGGAGAGGGAAAGGTGGAACAGGGGAAAGGGGAAAGGCGTAACGGGGAGAGGAATGTTCAGTCCAGGCGTCAACGTGCTGCAGAAACAATCCGAGCACTTGATTGGCACATCCGACCGACTTATGATGCCTGCTACCCAGCACTAACTGACCGTTTTCCAGCCGTCAGTCACAATAACTGACCGTTAGCCAAGGCGGTGACGGAGTTGTCAGCGAGATCCGCGTGGTGGCGGATGAACGTCTCGATTGACTCCACCAGCTCGCCCGGCATCATGCCGCCCTGCTCGCCGCTCGCATCACCGTTGTCATTCCTTATACTGTCGCCCTCACCTCCCGTCGGAATGCGGGCAGAACGCGAGCGTGCGGGCTTGCCTACCATCGTGAGAAATTCCTGGACGAACGTGGTTAGTGTTTTTAGTTCGTCAAGATTCGTGGCAGAACGTGGTTAGATTATTGAGTCCGTCAATATTCCTGGCAGAACGTTGGCTGATGCGCAGGCGTGGGCGAGAATGTGAAGGATTTCGTTGCGCTTTCGTTGCGGTTGTTGTTCGTCTGGCGTTTGTATGGTATGCGGAGCTTCACGCGCTACTTCCAGGCACCGTGCTCATCACAGCACAGCACATAGTGCGTGAGGTGAGGCGAAGAGCTCGTTGTTCTCATTGTTCGCTTGTAGCGCTCTTACGACTGCACTGCAGCTTCAGTCTGCTTCTCTTCTCCTACCACTCGGGTTCAAAACCACGTGGAGAACTTCACAGGTGGCATTTAGAAAGAAACTCGTGGATTAGGACGCGGCACCTCTAGGAATTTTGCAGGATCGATCGCAGGATCGCTGATTGCGCCGCACTAAAACTCTCTGAAAGCATTTAAATTTTCCAAAACAGTTCTTAACTCCGCAAAAAATCGATCCTTTGCAGGATCGATCGCAGGATCGGTGCTACAGGTGCCGCGTCCTAAGGACGATTCATTTGATTGTGGATTGGGAGGCGCCACACCACGAAGATGAAGTTGATAAGTATAGAATGAGTGGGAAACGGCTTTCGGCGTCTTGTAATGTATCAATTATACCCCGTACCTTATTGTGCGACTCAAAAACGCGGATAACATAACACAGTGCATTCTATGCCCCATTCGGCCCCATTTCCTGGTTGCTCGCATCCGTGATTTCCAGACAATTCCATTCCACCTTGGGATTTCCGCCATTTTGTTTTTCACTCCGAGCCACAGCGGCCACCTCCCCGCGTCTCCTAACCGAATTCGCAAAATGTTCGCCTGTGCAGCCGCGCCCTCTCTCCCCACCTCCCTGCACGTCATGGGCTCGGCGTGCACTTCTCACAGCCGCAGTCGCACTTCTCGGCGCTGCGCGCCGAACCGCAACCATTGCAATGGCGCGACTATTTTTCCTCGTTATGGAGACGGGACGAGATCCTCCCAGCTGCTAGGTTTCCACAAGTCGGCGTGCTTGCAAGGCGGCGCCACTCGAATCTCCTGCCGTCCTCCTGCCGTTGCAAGGCGAAACTCCCCAAAAACGCAAGTTGGCGTGCCGCGTTGCCTGTACTCGCCTCATCAACCACATTTGTTGCAGCTTCGTCATCCATTCTCCTCATCAGAATGTGACTCATTCTCGTCCTCGTCACGTGCACCTGGAGGGGCCATCCGCGATTTTCGAGGCGCCTCAAAAATTAACTTGGTCGTCCATGATCCTCATCAGAATGTAACTCACTCTCGTCCTCGTCCCTGTCCTCTATTCCCCATCAGACGAGCATCTGGACCCATCCGCGCAGCCATCGACGCGTTCGTCATCGGCTTCCAAGGCACGCTCTTAAAGCCCTCCTCCGACGGTCTCCTCGAGCCAGCAGCCGAGGCCCTCAGAACCACCTCGCTGCCTTTCTACATCCTCACCTCCTCCTCCGCCTCCTCCTCCTCTCTCTCGCCTGCTGACGTCAGCGCGCTGCTGAAGCGGGATGCGGAAGTGGATATTCCCGAGGACTCGCCGCGGATCATCACGTTGGCTGGAGAAGGGGAGGGCAAACTGGCTGCTCTTCTCGCTGTGCGTGTTCAGTGTCTACCTTCTCACCTCTGCACTTGGTTGTCACGTGGTCCCATGCCATGTCATCCCATGCCATGTCATCCCATGCCATGTCATCCCATGCCACGTCATCCCATGCCACGTCATCCCATGCCATTCCATGCCATGTCATCCCATGTCATACCATCCAACCTATCCCATGACACTGTAATTCCATCCCACCTCACGCCACGCTACCCATGCAGGTCAACAGCTAGCCCAGGACACAGCCAACACGATGCATAACATCGACTCGAATCCAGCCACTCTCTAATCATGACATTGTTCTCCATTCCATTTCACGCCACCCATGCAGGTCAACAGCCGGCCTCTAGCCCAGGACACAGCCAACACGATGCATTACATTGACTCAGATCTAGTGGCCCTCACCCTCGCAGCCAGCCAACCAGAGCTCGCCAGGTGGCAGCTGTACCACGCGCAGTGGAGCGAGAGTGGAGAAGAAAGCAAGGAGGAGACGCTCCATCCTCGCATCAGGCCGATCGCGTGAGTGGATCTTCTTTAGGCGCCTCAAAAGGCACGAGTGGATCGGAGCAAGCCTGATCTTCATGCACTTACCTGCTCTCATATCATCGCTTGTTTGCTTTCCAGCTTCTCTCTGGCCGTCGTCTCCTCATTGCCGGCTGATTCTCCTGCAACAAGCTACGAGCTTTCTTCCCCTCACACACTCCCTTTCCCCCTTCCCCCCCGTCTTTCCTTCCCACACCCCTCACATCCCCCCGTCCCCCCCTTTGTTTGGCATGCGCACCGTCAGACTCAAGGATCTGGATGAGCTGCTGCGGTGGGGGCTACTCATGGGGGTGAATGACGGCTGCCAGGAGTATGAGGATGGCACGCCTGCTACATGACAGACACATTCCTAGCCCACCTGTGCTGTGCTGTGACTGTCAAGAGTAGTGAATGTTCATCATCATGAACCTAGTAGAGGGTTTGTTGATTGGATCCAATACAATGGATTCGTACTACAGAACACTACAGAAATACACTTGTGGTGAGACCTTCATATTCCTTCGAAATATACGGGGCCGTCACTTGAGGAGGCGCGCTAGAATGCCAGCTCTCAGTCACGCCAATTGGTCAGACTTGATGGTGCCTTTGGAGCAGCCATTGGAGATATTTTTGGGGCCCTTTAGAACAATGCACCCTCTCTTTCTCTCTATCTCCCGCTCTCTATTATCAAGGAGGGCCGGACTTGATGGTACCAGAGGAGCAGAAGCAGATGCATCCACGGCTCGTCTTGGAGCTTTGCAGAATTGTGCATGCCCACTCTCCCGCCCTTGCTATCGCTGTCTCAAGGAGGACCCACTTTCTTGAGGTCTGCAAGAGCCTCGGCTTTATGCCAGACGAAGAGGTTGGACTTGATGGTGCCCGAGGAGCAGAAGTAGATGCATTCAGGGTTCTTCTTGGGGCCGTCTGGATCCGCACACTTCACTGCTGCTGGGTCCACAGTTGTGTTTGGCGACTCCAACATGGGGCTGGGAAAGGAGGTGAAGGGAATGGAAGGGAAGGGAAATAATAAAGGCGCATATTTGTTTTGTTTGCTTGAGCCTTTTGTCGGGGCTCTTTCTAAAAGTCCGCACACTTCACTGCAGCTGGGTTCACCGTTGAGTTTGGCGACTCCAACATGGGGCTGGGAAGAGGGGCCAAGGGAAGGCAAGGGAGTGAGACACGTGCGTTTTGTTTTGCTCGAGCTTCCATCAGGGCTTGAAGCTACTGGGAACCCCGTTGTGGTTGGTGACTCCACCATGGGGCTGGGAAGAGGGCCAAGAAAAGGGGAGGGATTGAATGTGAGGAGCAAATGTGCCTTGTTTGGTTGAGGCCTTTGTCGGGGCTCTTCTAGGCAGGCAGCAGCCGACAAGGAGCAGGGAGCGACGAGGCGCAGAGGACGACGAGAAGCAGAGAGTGATGAGAAGCAGAGAGCTACGTGAAGCAGAGAGCGACGAGAAGCAGAGAGCGATGAGAAGCAGAGAGCGACGAAAAGCAGAGAGCGACGAGCAGCAGGGAGCGTCCAACTCTCACCTCTTGTCGCAAAGCTGATCGACAGGTGGCTTGGTGATGGCGTCAGGGATCTCGAACATGTCGTGGTACTTGACAAGCAGCAGAGAGTGATGAGCAGCAGCGAGCGTCCAACACTCACCTCTTATCGCAGATCTGATTCATGGGTGGTTCCGTGATGGCACAGGTTTCTCGAGGGTGTCGTGGTACTTGACGAGCAGAGGGTGGCGAGCAGCAGAGAGGGGCAAGCAGCCAAGAGTGACGAGCAGCAAGGAGTACCAAACACTCACCTCTTATCGCAGCAGAGCGGCGGACACGTGTCCAAGACTCACCTCTTATTGCGGACACGGGTGGTTCCATAATGGCATCAGGGTTCTCGAGCGTGTCATAGTACTTGACGAGAAGCAGCCCCCAGTAGCTCGTGCAGCCCGTAGAGAGTGCATGCAACTCCTACCTCTTGTCGCATATCTGATTCACTGGTGGCTCTGTAATAGCGTCAGGGTTCTCAAGGGTGTCGTGGTACTTGACAAGAAGCAGCCCCCAGTAGAGAGTGCGGCCGGTCCACGTGCACGCGTACGTTGCAAACTGGTTTGCCACCTGCACCAGCCTCTGCACCTCCTCGTCGTTCTCCTGCGCCCACCGCACCTTCTCTGGCAGGTCCGAGAAGCTGATGGGAGATAGGGGGAGGGGGGAGGTGGGGAGTGTGGGGAGTGTGGGGAGTGTGGGGAGTGTGGGGAGTGTGGGGAGTGTGGGGAGTGTGGGGAGTGTGGGGAGTGTGGGGGTTGAGCTGTTCGTACCAGCCAACCGTCAGCCACCTGCACCAGCCTCTGCATTTCCTCGTCGTTCTCCTGCGCCCACCGCACCTTCTCAGGCAGGTCCGAGAAGCTGGCGAGTAGAAGGGGAAAGAGAGGAAGGTGAGGGGGTAAGGAGGAGGGAAGAGGAGGGTGAGGGAAAGGAATAGGCCCGCCTTCATCCGCATGCAACAACCACCGTCTGCAACAACCACCATCTGCACGCAGTTGCTTTCAAAGATTCCTAAGCAAACGAGCCCTGTGCAGTCTGAACGTGCAAGTGGTGGTGAGCCAGTGCACTCACGTGCGAGTGGTGGTGAGCCAGTGCACTCACGTGCGAGTGGTGGTGAGCCAGTGCACTCACGTGCGAGTGGTGGTGAGCCAGTGCACTCACGTGCGAGTGGTGGTGAGCCAGTGCACTCACGTGCGAGTGGTGGTGAGCCAGTGCACTCACGTGCGAGTGGTGGTGAGCCAGTGCACTCACGTGCGAGTGGTGGTGAGCCAGTGCACTCACGTGCGAGTGGTGGTGAGCCAGTGCACTCACGTGCGAGTGGTGGTGAGCCAGTGCACCCTGTCCTGCAGCAGCGGCTCGTAGAACTGGAAGATGGGCGCCTGTATGGTTACCAGCAGAATGGTTACCAAAACAAATAGTTACCAGCAGAATGGTTACTCACGTGCGAGTGGTGGTGAGCCAATGCACCCGATCCTGCAGCAGCGGCTCGTAGAACTGGTAAATGGGCGTCTCCTGGCGGATGCTCAGCTGATTGGACCGCAGCACCCCGCACGTGCGGCAGCTGCCCCCACCGCCGTCTACGATGACCTGGTACTTGAACGCGTTGAACTGAGTGAAGTTCATGCGCGGCGCCAGCAACACGCCCTCCTTTACCATCGCGAATTGCGCTGCCCCCCTTGAGTGGGACCACCTGAGGGGGCACGGCACACGGCGCAATGCGTGGGGAAAGGAAGGAGGGGCATGAGTGATTGCTGGAGAATCCGGAGAGGAGGGTTGAAGAGCTGCCCCCGCCCCCATCTACGATGACCTGGTACTTGAACGCGTTGAACTGCGTGAAGTTCATGCGCGGCGCCAGCACCACGCCCTCTCTTACCATTGCAAACTGCGCTGCATGCATGAGTGGGACCACCTGGGGGGACAATGCGAGGGGGAAGGAGGAAGGAAAATGGGGTGTTCGTAGGCACTTTCAATGCGCACCTTGCCCCCACCCCCGTCCACCACACCACGACCTGGTACCTGTATGTTTGGTAGTAAGCATAAGTGGGCTTTCACAGACTATGTTTGGTACAAAGTGTACGAGCGTTATTTAACCTTATGTTTGGTACTAACTGTAAGTACTTTATCTATCTTAATGTATAGTAGTAAATACAAATGTGCTACTTAACCTGATGTCTGATACTTAGTGTAACTGCACTAATTAACATTATACTCGGTCCCAAGTATAACTTCGTTACTGAAGCACATCCATGGCCACAGGGACTCTGACATTTGAGGGGCTTCAAGGAAAACCAGTCCGGCTCGGCATTACATCACACCGACTGAGAAAACTCAGTCAGCAATGCACCCTCACTCGTTGCTCTGTGCACCCTTGAAGGCGGGTGGATCTAGATTTGCCTGGACAAGGTGTTAACTCTTGAGGCGCCTCGTTTCAAGTCCAGAGTTGCCTGGACAAGGTGTTTGAAGTTTTTGAGAAGCAAGGAACCCTCACTTGCTCATGTGGGCGTCCATGAGGGACGGGTGCGCGTCGGAGATGCGGTGCAGGCGCACGTGGAAGTTGGCTGGCGCCCCAGTTGCCGATTTTTTAGACGTTTCAAGGCTCACGTGCCTGGAGCAAGGTGGCCTCACTCACTTGTTGATGTGCGCGTCCATGAGGGACGGGTGCGCGTCGGAGATGCGGTGCAGGCGCACGTGGAAGTTGGCTGGCGCCCCAGTTGCCGATTTTTGAGACGTTTCAAGGCTCACGTGCCTGGAGCAAGGTGGCCTCACTCACTTGTTGATGTGCGCGTCCATGAGGGACGGGTGCGCATCGGAGATGCGGTGCAGGCGCACGCGGGGGTTGGCACCCCAGTTGCCGTCGATCAGCTCGTACGACGTGGTCTTGCCGCGGAACACTGCCCGCGCCTCCTTGCGCTCCCATGGAATCTGAGCACCAAGCGGGGAGGGGCATGAGGCATGGGGTTGTGGAGGTGCCTAACCAAACAGTTGACGTGGTCTTACCGCGGAGCACCGCCCGCGCCTCCTTGCGCTCCCATGGAATCTGAGTTGTGAGGGGGGGTGGGACGAGGCCGCGAGGGGCGAGGCCACGAGGGCAACGGCGCATGGGGGTTTTGAGGCGGCGGCATGGTCTTGCCACAGCACACAGCACGCATGTTCTTTTGACGAAATCCGTACAATTGAACCCATTTCAACGAATACAGGGGATCAGGAAGGGAATGTCCATTGTGTCGGCAGTGAGTGAACCCCGTTATTTTGTGTTCAATACACATTCAAAGGCGCCTCAAAAGTTTTGAGGCGGCTCAGAAGTTATGAGACTCCTCAAGAGTGTGTCAGCAAAGCAGTGAACCCCGTCACCCTGTGCTCAATGCCCACCAGGGATGCTTCCTCGGAACAGCAAGCACACACAGCCCACTCACGCACCTGTGAGGCCAGGTTGGGAGGATAGTCCCTGGTCAGGTCCAGTGGGATTGGGCACGGGGATGTCCATGGTATCAGCGGTAAAGCTGGTGCTCATCATGGGAGGGAGGGGGTGCCGCGTGGCCATTAGTCAGATCAGAGGCAGGCAGTACCGCAGCCAACACACACAATCCACCCACCTGTGTGGCCAGGTCAGGCGTGTAGTCTTCGGTCAGGTCGAGCGGGTCAGGCACGTGGATATCCATGGTATCAGCAGTGAAGCCGGTGCTCATCAAAGGGATGCAATGCCATGAAACAAGCAAGCACAAACAACACCCACTCACCCACCTGTGTGGCCAGGTCTGGGGTGTAATCCTCAGTTAGATCAAGCGGGTCAGGAATGGGGATGTCCATGGTATCAGCGGTAAAGCCGGTGCTCATCATGGGGATGCCGGCGCGATCGGTGATGTGGCTGCTGTAGAACGCCATGGGGTGGTCGCACGTGTTCACGTAGAGCTCAAGACGCATGTCTGTGAGTTGATACCGCACCACCGCATCCTGAGGAAGGTTGACGTGAAGGGGGAGGGGATAGGGGAAAGGAGGGGTGGCTCCTGTAGAACGCCATGGGGTGGTCGCACGTGTTCACGTCGAGTTCCAGACGCATGTCCATGAGTTGATACAGCATCACCGCGTCCTGATGGGTTGATGAGGGGATTTGGGGGGTAGGGGTGGAAAGTTTTGCGCCTTTGAGGCAGGGAGAGGGAGGTGAGGTGAAATAGTGGGATTGCGGTAAATCCCTTATGTTCGACTCTTGCCCACGTATTTGACCAGCGTTGACCCATGCCCTGACTTCCATACCATGCCAGTGCCATGACTACCAATGCCTCTCAAAATCATCCCCTAGCATGCATACTCTTATTAGTCAAAAGCCCAAGGCATAGCATCATAGCATGGACGCACGTGGATCATCTTGACGGTCTGCAGGAAGCGGTTGAGGCGGTAGTATTCGCGGAAGAAGCCGCCATAGCGGAAGAACACCTTGCCGTTGATCACCTTCACGTGCCCCGCGCACGACATGATGGCCGGTGTCTTGCCCATCCGCGTCAGCGCCTCCGTGCTCACCAGGCCCATTCTCCCCACTCCTGAGGTCAGATTCTGGTGGAGGGACAGGCAGGGCGGTTCAGCGTGAACGGGAGGGATGTACGCAGTCAGGGAAGCGGGGTGTGCAGAGGAAGAGCACGAGGAGCGGCTCCTTGCCCACTCGGCTCGGGTGAGTGCCTCTGTAGCTTGACAGATCACAGCTCTGGCATAACTGGTAAAGTCCTTTCTGTACTGACATTGATACGCTTTTGAGGAGAATCAAAGGGCTGTGGTAGAGTCCTGCCTGCACTGACTGACCTTGACAGGGCGCCACGGTTCGAGGTACTTTTGGATCAGCTGCAGGTATTTTACCGCCATGGGTTGAGTCAACACTTTTGAGTCGACTCAAGAAGCATCAAAGGGCTGTGGTAGAGTCCTGCCTACACTGACCTTGATAGGGCGCCACGGTTCCAGGTACTTGTGGATCAGCTGCAGGTATTTTACCGCCATGGGTTGCGTCAACACCAGCCGCTTATACTGCGGAAGCCGGCCCAATAGCTCTTCATCCGACGGCCGAAATTCACGCGGAAGGGGACACGTGCCCTGCGTGGCAGCCCTAGATTTCATCTCCTCCCACACGTCACGCGCTCCCCATCCGAGAACCACCAGCAACCCCGTTAGTAGCACAAGCCGCGACCCAAACTGGTCCATGGATAGTCGAGCCAGACCTAATCGCACCAATACTCTGTGGTACTGCGATCCTGCGGGGAACGCGCTGCCGAAGCCACGTGGACTGCCAGCCTGGCGGAACATCCCCTCGTCGAACGAGCCGCCAGTGGGGCTGTGCGCCTCGTGTCCGTGCTCGCGCTCGTCATCCTCCTCGTCGCGGTATTCCCTAGGGCTTCGAGCTCCCGTCGCGCGTTCCTTGAGGTGCTGACTGCTGCTGTACCCTGCCACGGATCGACTGCTCGTAGTCGCCATTTCCGTACGTGGCGATTGGTTTCGCGCTTGGCTATCAGGATGGACGTATTGCCGGTCCTATTGATCCGGATACAGCTGATTGATAGTAGAAGCTCGCGAATGTAAATGATTTTCCCACTACAGGAAACAATGTGCGAGGTAAATCTTTAAGGTGCAATTCCCGTATGCATTATGCTATGCAGGCCAGTGGCGTTGAAAATGTTGCAAACTCGTTGATCTGGTCTGGATGCTTCATAGCCGAATCTGATACTAGAGCGAGCGACCTAGAACGGGATTCACCACCTTATGGCCAGTTTCGCGCCCGAGCGTCTGTGACGGTCCTAGAGCGCATTACGTGTTATTGATAGGGAATCGCGGTCCAGTCAAATCTGCATGATTGTACGAAAACGCGAAGTCATGGTGTGCATTGGCCATGGGCCATGGCATGTGATGTGATAGAGCACACGCGAATCTCCAGGTTCTCTCATCTGATTCCAAGAAGGGAACTAGACTCTTCTCTGTTTCGATTAGGCAATCTCCAGGTGGTTGGCTGTTACCCGCCACCAAATGCCACCAAGAATGACGAAACGACGAACAGAGACAAATGCTATTACAATCTTTCGCAAATGCTATTACATTGTTTCGCAAATCTTTTGGTGGTTACGCCTCGCCATTCAGTTATACAGGGCACCATGCCACTTTAAGATGCTATTCTCGCTGTATGCAAATGCGTTTTATGAACTACATAATGTGCAGATCCACCGCTCGTATGATGCAACATCAATTTCTGCTAAGCGAGGCCGAGGGTTCCGAACCTGTTCTAGTAACGATACTATTTTTTCACGAACCGCTGAATGACCATTTGGTCCCAGGCCAGAGCAGGCCAGACCAGCCCAGGGCTTCAAACCAAGGCGCGTGGAAGACGACTTGTGCGCAAAAGTTCTTGTATGGGATGCAACACCTGCTAAAAAGGGGCTTCAACTTGACTACATCGAGTTCCAATCGATCCATTAACCTCAACCGTCATTGCTGGCCGTCGATTATCTGCTATATCCCCATCGCCGTACAGCTCGCAGCGACACCACACTGCGCGATGCGAGACCGCGTGCTCCCCCGATTCAGCCCCCTTTGCATCCTGCGTCCCGCCTGCTTGGCTCCACCCCACATGGGATCCGACTCTGCCCTTCCTCTCCCACATTCCAGCTCTAGAATTACGACTGCACACGCGTCTCAAACGTCATTCTCGTGACTGGTGTCTCTCACGCGTTTCTCAAGTGACTTCCTCGACAGACCAATCCCCCCCCATTCAGCCAGACTCTAGCATTGTCGACCCCAAAGCGCAGACAGCATGTCAGACCGAAGCAACATACCACCGAGTGGGCGCAACCCTCTCTACGGCGGGCCGTCGAACAAATCCTTCAACCGCACTCCCTCGTGGGCCTACAAGAACGGCGGAGACGGCGGGGATGGCAGCGAACAAGGCTCCCCAACCGCATCCCCCCTACGCAGCCATCGCAACGCCTCTCAGTCCCCTTACTACGCGCCACAGTACGAGAACCCAGGCTACACCGTCGAGACTCCGAGCGCATACGACCCATACTTGATGTCCAGCGGGTCCATCCACGGCAGCCATCTGTATCGCCCAACGGAAACCTACTTCGTGCAGACTCCCGCGCACTCGATTCGCACCTCGCGCGTGAACGAATCGCCGGAATCCTCGGCGCCGTCGTCGCCGCAGCACCCGGAGGGATACGCCGAGATGGGAGGAAAGTTCAACGGCGAAGAGGCGGTGTTCGACGACTCGGATCACGAGGATGAGTTCTACCCGGACATTCAAAGGGAGAAGTTCCGCAAGAAGCGCTTTAAACAGTGCTTCTGCTTGTGGTCGCTGCTGGTCGTCGCGGCGCTCATTGTCGCGGGATGCATTATCGCGTGGGTCGTGTACCAGCCAACACCGCCCACGTACACCATGGACGTACGTTGGAAACCATGAAATCGGTTTGCTTCATTTTGTTCCAAAGCTCCCCTTAGTCGCAGAGTCTGGGCCGCTCTCAAGTACCAACGCCTCTCCCTTGTCACCGTACAATTTCCCTTACACTGCCTCACTCTCCCTGCCCTTTCCGTGCCTTTCCCCCTGCACCTCATTCGCGTGCCATTCCTCTTCCCGCGACCGCAGTACGCGATGGTGAACGAGTTCCAGACGTTTCCCGACTTGCTGGACGGCAACGGGCTGCCGACGGACCAGCTGTACGCCAACCTCACGCTCATCTTCTCCATCCGCAACCCCAACACGCGCTACGTCTCGTGGTTCGACGGCGGCGACGTGAGCATCGGCTACAGCTCCATCAAGACCATGATGAAGGGCCGCGTGAGTCATCCTCCATGCCCAACCAGAGACGTAACTGTTGGAGGTCATATCTTCTCATTGTGCCATTGTAACGAGGCTACTTTGAGATGACCCAGATGTCACCCTGCAGGGCCGCATGAGTGATCAATCCTCCATGCTCATCCAAAGACGTTACATATCTTCGCTTTGTACATTCCATTTCGTCCTGTATTTTGCGCGTAGCTCCGCTATCCTATCCCCTTCGCAATGAACATTCTACCTTATCATCGGTTTCCGTATCGGCTGCCCCTTGTGCCGTTCCACCGTCTGCAGTTCCCCAAGTTCAAGCAGAACCAGCTGGAGTGGAACAGCTTCAACGGGTCCGCCTCCACCATGGCCTTCCCCCTCTATGGCGGCGGCATGGCGCTGCGCTCGGACATCGCGGAGCAGTACGTTCCGCTCAGGCTGAACGCCACGCTGCGCGCGCACGTGGATGTTATCTGGAAGGTCGTGTCGCCGGTGTACACCCATTTGATGGAGTGTATTGTGAACATTAACCCCATGGCGCTGCAGTACATCAACGACACATGTACGGTGACACAGATTTAAGCTGAGTGTGTTGATGGAGCAACCCTTACTCCTCCCCACTTATCCAGCTAGTCACAGGGAGAACAGCGCCATTCCTCTGCTTCCAGAAAATTGTTAGACCAGCCTTCCAGCCCACTTTACATTTGTTTTTTAGATTCCCTGTAGGAAGACGGGTTTGGGATCACCCCACCTGTTTGATTATCAATAATGTAATCTTATTGAGCTGCTCCGTGTAAGATGAATGCTGCTTGTTGTATGCAATGCTCTGTGTGCAATGGGAAGCATGTCTACCCATCTTACTTGTCATAGGGAACAACTCCTACACTTCTGATACCCCCGTATACATCAGTGTTTGAAATGTAAAAAATGTGTACATGCCAACTTTTACAGCATCTCATTTCAAAGCCCGAATTCCATACCGCATTCATTCTGGTTAAATAAGCTCCCTCTATCCGGTTCCAACCAATAGCCCCTAATATCTGCTAACAATAAATATTTATCTACGGTTAGAATAGTAGCTAGCTGAAAACAAGACATTCATAGTAACCAGCTGAAAACTTCAATGACCGCATAAGAATGGAATAGTCAAACTACACTTGTAATGAATGTGAATTCATTACTGTAGAGGCTGCTCTTAGCGAGGACAGCCCGAACTGTTCGCGTCAGTTTGGGCTCGGTCTACACTTTCGTACCGAACCAGCGCCGAGTCGCCCCGCACCAATCGCGACACTTCCAAGCCTCGCACGTCCCGAGGCCCTCGCCTAGCACGGTTTAGACCCTATAAATGCTCGCTTCTTTATCATTCTCGTCATTCGGTACTTTCATCCTTTTTATAAAGTCTTCCGCGCACTCTTCTTAGTACAACTCATAACACTTGGTATCAGAGCCTAAGTTCCTAGGTTCCCCGTTTTTTAGAGTGTATTATGTCAACAAGACTAGGCAAGAATGGTGCATTGAATGAAACAGTTGGGTACAAGTAGCAAACCCTAGTAGGGGTTGTACCCCATATTGGCTACCCCACTACAGCCTACCAACATGTAACACATTACAATTTAACACACCCCCATAGGCAAAGTGGGGGAGAACAAAGGGTCACAAGACCAGTCCAGCAAAGCAACGCAAGCCCAGGGTGGATCACAACGTCACCACACTCCGAGCACAAGCAAAGGCCACAAGGCCAGTTCACATGCAGTGCTAGATATAATACAAGACAAGCAACACAGTGATCAAAACCTAGCAAGCAAGCAACAAGATATATATAAAGTACAGTACAAAGAAAGTCAAGCAGTAAGCAAATGAGGGAATGTGGACACAAGGCCTAAAGAAGTACAGTGCCGCTGATGATCACTAGGCGGGAGCGCCTTGGTGAAGATATCAGCAGTGTTGGCCTTCGAGTCCACGTACACAAGCCGAAGCTGACCGCGCTGCTGCAGCTCTCGAGCAAGAAAGTAGCGAAGAGCAATGTGCTTCGTCCTGTGCTCCAGTCTGTGCTCCTGACACAAGGCAAGGGCCGCCTTGTTGTCGCCGTACAGAACTGGAGGAGAACTAGGCCGCTCTCCTAAGTCAGTAAGCAGGTAGGTGAGCCAGCGTAACTCCTGTGCAGCCATGGCCGTGGCGTAGATCTCAGCCTCACAACTAGAGCTGAGAACAGAAGAAGAGCGGGTGGACCGCCACGAGACAGAACCAGAGCCAAGGCTGAAGGTGTAACCCTGCGACGACCGCTGCGTAGCCAGGTCGTCCACCCAAGAAGCGTCCGAGTGACCAGTGAGGACAACTCTGTCGCGTCCTCCAAGCACCAGCCCCATGCCTGATGTACTGCACAAGTAACGCAGCACCCTCTTAGCAGCCTCTCAGTGCTCTCGCCTGTGTCTCCCAGGCGCAACGTAACGAGCAAGGATGCTAAGAGGGTACGCGAGGTCAGGTCGCGTGCAAGTCATCAGGTACATGAGGCAGCCTACAAGCTCTGGGTACGGGCCACTCGGCTCTACGGACTCGTCCGAAGGTGGAGCTGAGAGCGAGTGGCTGGTAGCCAGAGGTGTGGCCTGTGGTGAGGAGAACTGAAGGACCTGCTGCACCATGTGTGACTGAGTCAGGGTAATGGTGCGGC